ATGACACAGTGTCTTCATGTCTCTGCTCAGTTTTATCCTCCTTCTAAGCAGACTTTAATGACTGGGGCCAACTGCATGTCACTACTGCTGCTTTACAGCGTCAGCCTTAACTATTGGAAAGAGGGCAAGACGCAACCTAATACTGATGATTTCACTGCCAAGATAAACAAGGGAGGTGATTTTGCATGTCCCAGACCAGTCTTTAAACAGGAATGATTGTAATTTAGCTCAAACAAAGGACCTGGGGAGTTTGGTTAGCCTATTTTAAGTGCTAGTGATAGTTCAGCTGTCTCATTCCTGCTGGCCAAACACAGTCCCTCACAGCTGTGAGGGATCGGCTTTTCCGGTAAAGATAATAACATTAGGATTTGTCTCAATCTTTTGGGGCCAAGTTAAGTATCAGGATGTGTTTTGGTCGACTGACAATCAAACGCTGTGTTGAGGATTTTCTGTGAGATAGTGACATTTGTGTAAGCAATGCTTTTTTCTGTCTGCTTGGCCACTTAAACTCAAACTACTCAAGTACTTCAAAGCACACTTCACACTTGCAGTACTTCTTATTTTTTGAAGAGAATAAATACTAGTTACTGTTGAAAGAACCCATATGAGAATACATGTTGAAGCATCAGTACCAAAAAAAAGGGCTAGGAATGCACTATACAGTATGGATGTTTTTTTTTTAGCCCAACCAGTCTACAGCTGATGGTCCTTATTAAGAAGACAACAAAAATAAAGAAGTGTTCAGACTTTTCAATAGTCCTATTTACTTAATTGTAAACATGATCACTACATCATGTGCTTTGTGAACAAAGTCTGTAGACATCGAAGCAGATTGCCTTGAGTTCGGCTCAAGTCTGCAGCCCTTAAACGTATGTCACGCCCTGCTCTCTCTCCCACTTAGTTACTCACTAATTTATCGCTTATAGAGTCTGAGAAGCCCAGCCCACCAAAAAGACGGCAATAATGTGGGTCAATCACATCAGGGAGTTAAAGCTCTTTCAAGTACCTTCTCTCTATCTAGCCAGCTACAGACTCAAACCGTGCAGGCCCACTGCATACGACCAGCAAACAAGGCAGTCTCATCAAAGAACTCCTACAACTCCTTTCACTGTCACATGACTTCATCAATCATGTGTTTCCAATTTGAGCTACAACAGCTAAACCAGCATACCCAACTGGGATGTATAAAGAAATCCCAATAATACACAATTTTTTTTAACATATACTAATGAGTAGTTGATTTTAAAACACCAACAAAATGTAATACTCAGAATTCTACTCTGCTTGTTGCTGGCTGCTGAGCTCCAGCGCTGTAGAAAGGAAGAATCTAAAAGCATTTTTGGATGTAGCTCAGACCTAAAGATTCTGGCTATCAAGTATACATTTGGGCATGTCTTGCATTCCAAAGACCGAAAGAAATGCAAACTGTACACTAAAACTTTGCATGCACTGATACATGCAAACATAATGTAAATATCACTGTGCACTGGTGTATACAGAGCTGTATTGCCTTTTGAATATTTGGCATGCATGGAACTTTTCAATATATCCATTAAAATGAATATTTATGAATATTAAAAGGGTTTGTCTTGTAGCTCTTTGTAGCCACAATGACTTCACAAAATATTTGAATGTGTGTGTCCATGAATCCCTATGATTTTCCAGTGTGGCTATCTTCTCTGTTGATAGTTCTGCTTTCATGGGTTGTTTTCAGTTTTAATTAACAGATCAGCTAAAGCAGTTTATTCTTAAATGTTGCTCTTGGGTGCTCTTCCTATGTTTGCATCAAACAAAGTATTTTACAATCTCAATATAAGGTATCGTAACAGATGTGTGTGAGCCATTTACTATTGTGTCTAAGAAAAAAAACGGTTTACGGGTGAATTTCTTCATTTCCCTACCACCTTGACTGATGAGTCAGAGTTGATCCTGGATGTATACGAATATTCCAGCATAATTTAAAAAATATATTCAGTGAAGGTCAGTGGGGAGTCGGGGGGCTGCGTCCTAATACACCATGTTGACCAGCTGCCACTTGTAGAAAGGCTATTGAAAAGAGGTTGTGGCTCAGTGGTAGAGTGGATGCTCTTCAAGTCAGAAGGTTGGGATTTGATCCTTGGTCCTGCTCTCCACATGACAAAGTGTCTTTGGGCAAGACCCCTAACCCCAAACAACCCCCTCTGACTGTACCAGTGTGTGAATGGGATTAGTCACACAGGCGCTTCACATAGCAGCCTCTGCCATCTGTGTGTGACTGTGGTGTGAATGACCATGAGAGGTCAAAAAGCAGAGAAAGCCCTACAAAATTACAGTCACTACACTATAAAGAGTTTAAAAGGGGGAGTGTCTCTCTACTAGGTTCACCTAATATGGCACAGTAAAGGTCATTATGTGTAATGTTTGCTTAACAGCAACTTAACATAGATTCACCCTAAATCAATTCCTACCCTCTTAGAGGTCCCCCTTTGAATCTATTCAGAGGCAAATTTTTAACATTTTGTTATCAGTAAGTGACTCAGTGTGGCAGGTGTCTTTTTACAGTATTTCCGAGAGACCAAAATAAACTTTCATCAGACGTTAAAAGGTTGCATGACATTTTTTCCCTCGTAAAAATCCTTCCTTGCTTTACAACCATCCATTAAACACATTTGGGATATTCATGTAACCACTTTTAGCATGTAACCACTTACAGCTGAGCTCTCTTAAGAAGAGGGTGTGCTTCGCTTAAAAGCAGGTGGATGAATGAATAGATGCTTTCGTAATTGAAGTCTGGCTTATATGGGGGCACTTTGTATTTTATGAAGGCACTCGTGTGATGAAACATTTCCATTCACATGCACGTTGTCATTAAGTGCAAGTGACACATTTTTCAGTGGCTCTGCAAAATGTGATCACTCATGGAGCACTTGACATTCCCTAAAGCATCAGGGCTGAGGTGATAGTGGCAAACGGCTCTACAACAGGAGGGAAGTTCAAAACAGAGTAAGCTCTTTATCATTTTTCTATAATAATAATAATAATAATAATAATAATAATAATAATAATAATAATGATAATAATAATAATTGTAAGTAACACTTGTTAATGATATTAGTAATGATTAAAGCACAACAAACTGTTTAATATCAATAGTACACCATATGTGTATAACACTAGTTAAAGTCATGGATTGTGACATTAGATGACAATATCTCTGCAAAGGAAAATGCGAGTATGACATATTGTTTGTCTAGGTAACCATGACTTCATCCATTTTTCTATTTTTCTGGACTTCTTAGATACATATGATTTAAATAATAATTTCTCTTTTTTATAATATCATACATCACTTCAATATGTTGTGTTCCACACAATGCCATTTTTATTCATTGTTTACCTAAAACTTTGTCACAAAATCAATGCACCGTGATTTCCCCAGCTGACAGCCCATGACTAGCTGCATGAAAAGGCTCCAGAAAGACTTCTGTGACATGATGAACTAAAGCATCCCCGGAGAAAAAAACGCCTAACACCCTCCAAACAACCAAAGAGCACATGAAGAGCAGCAGACAAGGCCTGTACCGGTCCAGAAACACGTTCTTAAAACCTATCCTGGGAAATTATTGCTTTCAGCTAGTACGCTGTCATGCCTCTTTGCTTCAGTCATGTGTGACCTAGGTGACAGGAGTTAATAAGATAGTCACTGAGCTGAAGGGAGCAATATGCTGGATCTACAGAGAACGATCATATGGCACATCAAGCAGCCAAGCAGCAGTGAAGAGCCCCCTCAATCTTACACTAATTCCACCACTCACCTGCCAGTGATGGATAGCTGCGAAAGATCAGTGTTTCTCCGAGGTCAACCTGTCACTGAGCTGTCAGGACAATTAATCAAGATAGTGCTCCAAAGAAGAACAGTTTTTAAAACAGGCTTCAGAAAAAAAGAACTCCCTAATTTCTAAAGGATTTAGGTGACATGAGAAGCTGTCGAGGGGGGGACGACTTCACATTGGAACGCAGCCCATAGCCGGAACTGTGCTTTCTGCGGCGGAGCTATCCCATGCACTGCTCACTCCATAGCCATAGAGATGTTATCGGTACTTTGGTTTTATGTGCTCCCCTTCATGCGGCTGTACATACTTGGCTTTAAGGTTCTGCTGGTTCAACTTTTCAGCAGACGATTTAGGTTGCCAGGTGGGTTTAACTTTTAAGAGGCACACAGCTTACACTCTCAGGTTTACAGCACAACAAATGAGGTTTACGTTCTAGCTGTACATTGAGATAATTTAGCAACTTATGTTAAGTATGGGTTACCTGTAATGAGGTGGTAATCAGGTAGATGTGCGTGGAATATTTAGCGGGTTGTACGGTCGTTCAGGTAGTCTATTGCTAGCTTTTGTGAGTTAGCTCACTTCGGCTAATGTTAGACGGCAAAATAGAGACGTGAACAAAATAAAGTCAATGGGAACAGCCGAAATGAACAGAATAGTTGGACGGGTCTACTTCTACTCACGATGACACCTTTTATTGGTCTATCTTTGTCGCCTATTGCTTGAGACTTAAAAATTCACTTTTTACCATGACGTTTGGTCCAGTTGGGCAGAGTCGAAGAGAGCAAAGTATCCCAGTATACCAAAGTTTTTCCCCTTGATTAAACGACCTGCTAGCTTATTAATGAATGAAAGGATTGCTGACAGAAAATGCAGTGTATCATCCAATAGGCTGCTGCTATATTTCTATTAATACAGGTATTTATTTAAATATAATATTTTGTGACAATGTCTCACAATAAACACAGTATTACACTTTATCAACTTTTAAAAACATAAATCAGTAGAGCATGAAATTTGTTCATACAGTAGCCTACTCTAGCTGTACAACACAGAAAATGTTTATTAGAGTATAGCAGTCTTGCTGTGCTGGCTTTTCATGTCTCTAACCTGTGAACCACCTCAAAGCAGCCACCTTCTCAAATGACATTCTCCTTGATATCTCTGTGTCCTCTTCTGCCTCTGCCAGTGATGCCGAGACAAGATGGCAAGGTTGCCATAGTGACAGGAGGAGCTAGGGGAATCGGCTATGAGGTTGTCCGACACATGGCCAGACTGGGGGCGCATGTTATCATAGGTACAGTAGCAAACACCACAACACTGACACGCAAACAGGACCCAGTGCAGCAGATGCAACCTTTGGACTGGATGAATGAACAAGTGTGTTACTGAGAGGTGGACTCCCATCTGTTTCCAGTCAAATACACAACACACCAATAACAATCCAAGAAACCTTTTTTATGTATTTGTTGGCTTTAAAGTTAGGGCTTAAAAATATTGCATCAGGAAAAGATGCAACTACTTAAACATAATATCTGCTAAAGAAATGCAAAGTGTGAAATCAATAAGAGAACACCTCACTGTATAAATAGGAAACAGGCATGCCTAAGACAATTTGGTCATGATTCTTGGAGATGATGTCAAACTAACAATGCTCCTTGTAGTTAAGGCCATGCTCTCTAGACTGAAACTCCTATCTACTGTAGCAAACATGACAAAGCAGTTAGTCAAAGCATTTGCATCCGGATGTGAAACTGAAGGCAGAATTAATGCTTGCCCTATCACAGATGATGATGCTTCAATCACTGCTAAATAGGCAGAGATTAGTCAGAGTATTTATGCTGGAGTAATAAGAGAGAAGTGACATGAGCTGCTGGCTCGGAAGAGGACAGATGAATGTTAAGAAAGGATATAAGTGAAAGAATATTTCCTCTTTTAAACTGAGAAGTGAAGTAACGTTGTTTTGTTACATGTTACTTATGATCAAGTTCAAACAAATTTGAATTAAGAAGAAAAATGTAAAAAACGTTACAACATTACAGCTCTCATTGACAATTACTCATGAAAACTAGATGTTTGATTTTTTAACAATTAAATTATACATTCTGTTTGTTGCTTTCTGGTGTTTTACAATATATGCTTGAAAGGATGTCTAATTTTCCCTTCGGCAGCAGTATATACCATACTGTTTGTTTACAGATGCTGGTTGGTCATTGTATAAACCTAATTCGGGCATTTTTAGGTACAATTTGATGATAAAGGAGCCTTCTGGTTTGTATATGCCTCATGTGGTAACTAGTGCTCGCATTATACTGTTGAAAAGCTATCAGAACCCCGAGTACAAAGTGTGATCCATCATCAATGGCGGTCATTTTATCCAGACAGAGGGACACAGATGTATCTCCTTATGATAAAGTAATGTCTGTGTGAAATACAGTGAATATAAAATACACAGCAGCTCTGCGGTTCCAAATGCTAGTCATATGGCAGGGACCGCCTGTTTGTGTCTGCTGTCACTGTCAGACATCCTCATATAGCATCAGAAGGTCAACAGCATATTCAAATGCATATCCCACAGATCCATCCTAAGGTTTGGAAAAACATCAAAACAGTTTGTCTTCTTCACAATGAGAATGTGAGTAGTGCTCTGCTGTGAGATGATGCAAAAAAATTATTGAGCTGGATGTGAAAAGGCTGTTGTAAGACTGTGTTTTAAATGCAAATTTAGGATTATGAGAAGCTCTTTGCATAAAACAAGATCTGGGAGTTTTACATCAATTATTTATCAATTTAGTTCACTTCAGCTACATCTCAGAAGGCATGTACTGTAAGCTGAACGAACTGAATAAACTAAGTGTCTCTTAACTGTTTATTTCTCCATTGTTTGTTCCTTCATCTTTGATGTGCCAGGAAGTATCCGCCTATAATATGGTGTATAGACACTGTAGATCACTGGTTCTGTATCTAATGAGCCTCTTGTTCAGATATGTTGATCCTACGCCTCTCGTGTCTCCTTGTCTGTCTCCTTAACGTGATGCAGTTCAAAGCTTCATCAGGATTAACGGATCAGCTTCTTCATTTTGCTGGTTTCTCTTACTGAAGGCCCTGAAGTGAATCACTTTTAGCAGAGGCATGAATCTACACATTAAATCTATTATTCTCAGATAGTCTGATGTGTTTTCATGTCTGGGCTAGCCTTTGTGATATCAGGTGCAGTTGTCTTTAAGCCTGAACAGGACAGGCTCTTATCAGGGAGTTTCTTATTCCTCTGGCTGTGATGCTGTTGCCAGTGAGCCTCCAGTTTCTCTGGAGGAATTATTTTTGATCTTTATAAATGGTGTGTGTGTGTGTGTGTGTGTGTGTGTGTGTGTGTGTGTGTGTGTGTGTGTGTGTGTGTGTGTGTGTGTGTGTGTGTGTGAGTGTGTTGGTGGCAATTCTGTGTTTACCTTCTTAGATTATAGGCACAATGTGTTCAGAGTCGAGAAAATAAAAGTGAGACATATAACATTTCTGTACATGTAGATAAAAGATGCAGTGTTGCTGTCTTTGACATTCTTATGGCTGCTCTTTTTCAGCTGCTTGCACACTGTTTACTTATCTGTTTTTAAGGATAATTGTGCAGTGTTAGCAGAAGCGTAATTCCTGTTTCGGAGCTCGAATGACTGGGGCAGCTGTTACCAACTTTAAGCTAATAACCCCGAAGTCCTGTTTTACAAACACACACAAAAACAGTGGGTGCAACTCTGCATATCATGCATTTATTGCTTTATTTTTTGCTCTTTAGGAAATTAAAATATTTTAAACAAGCTCACAGAGTAATATTGGTGAGCCGTCCAGATTAGATAGTCTAAAAGGAAGTATCAGCATCAGCCTTCAGGGAACATCTACAGACATGACAGCTGCTATGTGATATGACCCCTTTTTGGTATGTCCTCATGAGGCACTGCAGATATCCTTGTTTCCTAAACTCTCAATATTTCTCCTCAAATGTAGGACTTAAAATGCAGGAGAATCCTCTGCACAGTTATGGTTTGATATGCAATTTCATTCTCTTATGACACAGCCAGTATCTATATGGTTCAGCATAGAGCGAGCAGCCAGAGGGACAGCATCAAAGAGGTCCAGTCTTTCTAAGCATTTATCAGATCTTTTATGAATAATTTTGGCTGGTATGCATTGAGTACAGGAATACGGTTGACAAATAAATGTTGTTTCTACTTGACTAAATCGCAGGCACAACCCTGTTAGTTTTTCAGAAAATGAATTAACCATGAAAAAACTAACCTTTGAATCTCTTATTTTAGTTTTTAGAACAGTTGTGTCCAGCACAGTCAACAGAACATTACTGTTCTTCCTCTTTTTTGTAAAGCTGTTTTAGTTGTTTTCAGCGAGTAGAGAATTGAGCAAAATTGAGCTTAATTGTTGCTTAAGGCTCGGACAGAAAAATTCAGACATGCACCAATTTCTTTGTCCGTTTCAGTTTTTTAAAGGCCTAATTTAAACCCCTTTCTAGAACCTGCACTCAAACTGAGTAGTGGCTGCCAAGTCTGGTCTCTGAATTTTCTGCAATTTTTGCTCTATCTTTGGTATAATTTTGTTGTGTTTTGTCGGCTGCTGATGGATACTTCTGCTGGGAGACAGATGTCTTGCATCTTTGTGTTTGATGCTTCATCCCCAGCAGACTGCAGCGTAGAACAGAACACTGTCGACACCACAGACTGATAAAACATCTGCAGCATCTTACTACAGATGTCTATTGATCAGAGTCTTCTCAGGCAAAAGAGGCGGCTCTGCCTCTTTCTGTAGATGAAGTCTATATTCTTAGACCAGTCCAACTTATTATCCAGATGTACACTTAGATATTTATATGATGTCACCGCTTCCACGTCCACTCCACAGGTGTTCACTGTTCAAGAGATCTCTGGTTCACGCAGCAGTCAGGAGTTCCAGTTTCCCACTGTTAGTGGTCTGATTAGCTGCACCTTAATGCTTGGCTCAAAGGTGGTCAGTCAACCTCAGACTGCTTAGGTGATTTTCCATCTGTAATACCATTTGACACAAAGTGCATATACTTTTGATTTGTTGGCTGTACAGTCCAGGATGTGTTTGGGTGAAATGTGCCAATCAAATGCACATCATCATTGTGCATTGTGTAATTTATTATGTTATGTGTATTGTTTGTACCTTTGTGTGTGCCTATTGCTATGACAGAAATTGTCCCACTGGGTGACATATGAAGGCATTGATTGACTGACTGATTGATTGATTGATTGATTGGTTGATTGATCGATTGACCTATGTCCTGCAAATCGGATTGAAATTGAAACTACCTGAGAACAGTTGTACATCAGTCCATGTCCTCACCATATTCTATCAGCAGAGATTGGGATTAGATACCCTTTACTATTAAATCTGCAGTTTAATCTGAAAAAGGCACATGAGTAACAAGACAGTTGACAGTTTTTAATGTGATACTTTATTCTTTCAGAAGTCTTTGTGGATATTTGCTTTTTAGGGAAGTCCAATTTCCTTTTAATCTGGGATCTCTCTCAGCAGAACATCGCAGCCGTCGGCTGAGCTGAATACCATTGGCATCTCTTCAATGTAAACTCAATGCGGCTTAATGAAATTTCTGCTGCTCCCATCAAAGTAAATGGATCAAGTTCTGTTGTTGTGCCTCTGTTTGTCATCTGAAATTGCTGCATTTGATTTCAGCAAAGTCAGTCATCAGGCTATCTGAGTTTGACAGTTTCCAAGACTTGGAGTCGTAAACAGTATTTTGTTTTTGAGAGCGATAGGCCTTTCACTTTTTATTACATGATACCGACATTTTAAAATGTTACTCTCATACTTGCCGTTAACCAAATAAGGAACTTAATTTTTAGGTGTTCCCCAATTATTACAACTCTTATTGGTTGAACGTTGGTTTAAAATTAGGACCATGACTCATTATTTATGCAGAACAAACTTGACCCTCATGAAATATTGTGCTGTCAGCTGTTATTTTTAAGATTAAAGGGATATTCCTGTGTAAAATTAAGATAGGGTCAAACACACTGTAACACCGAGTTAGACACCCCCTCTAGCCAACTGCTTGCTTCTCTATTTATACAAACTTCCTCACCACACAATAGCAATACACAGCAGTCTATGTCTCCACATGCAAACCTCAGCCATAAAGCCACTCTGTAGTCACAAATAATGCTCAGAACAGCACCTAACTTCATCAACAGTACAAATAGGATCGTAGCCATAGTACTAGCCACCAAACATCTTTTTAGCTTTGCCTGATTTCTTTAGCAAAGAGACTAAACACAACTCACCTACTCTCTTCCAGCAGCTGCTTGTTTATGGGAAGCACTGACGAGTCAATCACCGAGTACAGTGGATCATTTCCATGAAGTAATAATCATCATAATTATCATTTTACACTGCAGACGTGGCAGTTCTTCTGCCTTAGTATCTCAGTCTGACTGCATTTCCATGAAGTAATAATCATAAATGTTCTTCCGTGAGTTGCGAAACTCCACTGCACTCAGTGATCGATTCGTCAGGGCTCCCCCACAAACAAGCGGCTGCTGGAGGAGAGTGTGTTTGGCCATAACTTAAATTTATTCTGGAATATCCCTTTAAGAATGAATGAAGTGAGAGACCCAGCTGAGGAATAAAAGAGGAGAGCAGTCACAGAAGAAAACCTCAGCTGAGAGTCAATCTGGCCTGGTTGTGCTGTGTACTTTGTGGCCTAAACTTTCCAGATAAAAGCTTTTCATCACAGTTTGAAAGCAGATTTGCTTTTGAATGATTGCTTTTATTCTCTTTGTTGTACTTAAATTACAGGTCTGTTAACACTTTATGATTTTTGTTTAGTATTTCATAGTATTAGTTGAAATATTGCTGTTATAGACCATAATCACCTTTATTTAATGAAATTTGACCAAAACATGTTATGATCTGTTTAGCTAGGTGAGCAAAGTTTTAATCTGAATAGTCAAAAATCACTCATCAGAAAAGAGCCAACGAAAGGGAAACTCAAGCAGACAGCACCATGAGGGGGTTACTGCTGCTACACATCCCAATTAGATCTGTACAACAACAGGACATGTAACTATTGGTGATGAATACTGATACTGACCTATTTAAAAACTTGTCAGATACCTTGTTATTTTAGGGGCTAGGAACATTTTTTTATTATTTTTTTAATAACAGGCCAGATCCACTGCAGGATCCAAATATCTCCAAGGTGCCAAGCACAGAACATCAACATGCTTTCATCCTCGGTTTACAGGGTGAAGCTGCATTTTTCATTCAGCTCACAAGCTCTAAAACTTTAAAGAAAACTCTGCTTTATTCAGTCTGTGTATATACTGAAGAGAGTCAAAATCCTTGGAAACAGTTGCAGCTGAACTCAAAAGGGGTTCAGGCCTGTAATCAAACAAACTGAATCAATAGAGAATGTGGTTTACTGTCTGTTGTAGTCCAGGAGTAGACCTTTGGGTATTTAAGCTGATCCCATAGGAGAGTGGTCCAGAAATCCCCAATTCTTGTGATAATTCATGAAGTGAGAGAATTTATGGTAAAGTGGATCTCTCTTTGCTAATGGAGCTGAAGCGTATTTCATGTGGAGTAGAAATAAAGTGGAAGTAGAAGTAAATGTGGACAGAGGGAAGTGTTTGAGCCCTGATTTTGAATAAGAGAAGCTAACAAGACATCAGTCAGGTCGTGCTGGAAAAACAGTCCTGCAGAAAATATGGAAGATAAACAATATAATTCTAAAAACATGTAAAAAAAACAAAAAACCAAAAGGTTGTTTTCATATAAAAGTGTTGCAAAGGGTAAATATGAGTAACAGCATCCAATCACTCTACTAACACTAGACACCAATTTGCTACCTAGAAAGACAAAAAAGAAATTCAGCAGATGAGAATGTAAAATTTTACACTCCAAGAGACACAAATGCACGGTATGAATGCCATTCTTTGTGGCTAATTGACTTTCATAAGCTTTACTTCTCACTCAAACATGGACATTGCAGTCATTGTCAACTGTTAGGACAATGACACCAGGAAATGTGGCATCATTTTGGGATTTGAAAAAGTCACTAACCCAAATATCAAGACAAGACTGTGTTTTCCTCCTGCTCTGGGGATGTAATAGTTTCATTTCAAGGCAAGGCAATTTGTAATTCAAATATCTAATTAGGTTTTCTGTCTCCTTCTGTCTCCTAATCAGTGCCAATCTCAAATATTTCATCAAACCAGGAACGAAGGCCAGTACCAGTGACAGACACAGCCTTTGACAACCCAATGCATTACTTAATTACTTTACTCTGAAAGTGCCATTAAATCAGCTTTATGTAACACATTTGGATGTGTGGGATTGATGAATTGGACTCAAAAAGGAAATTATCTTTGTCCTTTGCTACCGTGAAGAAAAAGTCTCTGGGGTCTAGAGTTGGAATGAGGTGCAATGTCATTTTTATCATTAAAGTGGGAGTCTCACTGCCGTCATGAGTGTTTTATGTCCGTTAATGCAGGAACTGTACAGATGTATCAGTTTTACACCAGAAAACACGCACATCCTTTTCTATCAATAAGTGATTTTTGTAAATATGAGAAGGAGAAATGACTTCCATAAATCAAGAGTGGAGAGCAGTTATACCCTCTGTTATTTTTATTAACATTTATGAGAACTCTGCTCTTGGTAATAAATGTAAAACCTCACAATATCAAAAACGACCAAGTATAATTCATGAGCATTCTTCATTATGTATTCAATCTGTAAAAAGGATTTATAACACTCTGAAAATGTGAAAGCACACATGCAAATAATTCTTCATCTGTTAGTGTTTGGTCTGTGAAAAATCATAAGAAAACACTGCATTTTACCTCCAGATCCATCAGTCTGCTCTAGCAGTATGGATGAAGACAAGCTGGCAGCCTCCAGCTCTCAGTACCTTCTGATCATACGGTCAAAGATAGCAGAGAGTTAATCCCAGAGCCTGAAAAATCATTTATTTTGTCACAACAGGCATGTTCATCCAGTAACTCACAACCTGCTTCACCTCTAATGAGCTGTTTATCAGCCATGTGTCAGCAGGATAAAGAAACATCACTGTTAGGAATAATCAGCTGTCCACTAGAACTGAAGTCAAAGCCATGAGGCCTGATTGTGGGCCGATTGTCCTTTTTTGTTGTTGATTTTAGTTATTCTGTTCATTTTGTGTCTTAGACTTTAAGCAGACATTGATTCAAGTTATCCTCACCTGAAGCTCTCAATTACACCATCACTATCTCGGTGTTTCATCTTTTCCACATACTAAGAATAGCACTGTGAAAATCTCATTCAATTATCCTCCAAAGGAGCCTCTGACTGCACTGAAACTACTTTGTCTATTCCCATTTCTTAAATTGAAGTTTTGCTTTCATTTAAAAACACAATGACAGATATAAAGTCAGTGAAAAATAGATGAGGACATGAAATCTGATCTGACATAGAGAAAACTTACCTTTAAAATTGATTTAATTTCAATACATTCAGTTTTTGACATTATTTTTTAGCAATATTTACAGTCGAGGGTAGAGTTTAGTATTTTCAATAGCATACTGATTGATCCTTGTATTAGTAAGTTGTGAATATAAAAACAGAGCCATGAAGTCTAGCTCAGCACAAAGACTACTGACAGGGGAAACTAACTACAGTAGTTTGGCCATGGTTTGAAAATAACCCAAATAAAATGAAGATAGGCAGTGAGGCAGAACAAAAGGTTTTTTTTTCTAACATCACATAATTATAATAGTAATGATTAAATTGCATTTTTAATATATTTTCTAGATGGTCAGGACAGGCATGGCTGCAAAGGCTCTGCTGCCCTGAGTTCAGTACTTGTTCCTAAATCCTGAAGGGTGGAGACTGCAGGCAGGAGTGTGAGGTGGAGCAGGTTAGTGAGGTCAAAGGCTGCTTGGTCACGGGGTTGCCATCAAACATAGGACTTCAATTGGGCTGACACAGTTTTTGATACATGCATTTTAGGGTTTTTCTGCTGCCTCTGAATTCAGCTCAGAGTAACACAGCAGCCCTCTTATTCACTCTGTCGATGTAGTGGAAGGGAGAGACCATGACATAGTTGACATAGTGCCACTGTCTGAACTGAACTCTCTTAAACCTGCTTTGCCACCTCCATGCCCAAAATCTTTGCATACTGTTAAATGTCTTTCAGCTTATCCTAAAACTACAGATTCTGTTCAGAAGTACAATGTGGACTAACGGATAAGTTATTGTAAAGATATTGCTCTACAATCAAAACTTTGTTGCATTTGGTGTAAAAACTAGGTAAACCAATTGTCTGAAATCATATTTGGGGATTCTTCAGCTCTGTAGTAAACACACATTAGGGCTGCACAATTCTGGCCAAAAATAAAATCCAGATATTCTTTCTCTGAAAACTTGATTTTCAATTTTGATTTTTTTATTCAGTTACAACTTCACCAAACTTCACTTTAATGATAAGTTTTTTTTCTCAAAACGAAACCACTGAAAACTATGTAGTGCATATGCCAAGCCAGTAAGTGGCGCTGTAACGCTGTCAAGGAAATACACAAAAGACAGAAGAAGAGGATCGAGCGTACGTTTAATGGTTGTTTGGGTGCAGGCGCCATAAAAGAGTTACGCTGTGTGTCACATAATTGTTTCCAGAGAGATGCTGACAGGCGTCCACACAGAGATGAAATGGTAGTTGTTTACAGATTTATGCACTCTCTTACCCATTTTCAAAAAGTACCGTTTACAATCACCCAAAACACTGATGCGACAAAAAACGTTTGCATTTACTTCTGAATTCAATTCAGTGTGGACAGATTGCAGCGGGGAGTGGTTTGCTCTTCATCCGAAACTGTGAAGTTGTACCAATTCCACATGACTGACTTGCTCTGTCCCTATTTAGCCACGAAATTATCGCCCTCTTTTGCAAACGCCATGTTTGTTAACATTGGTGTGTGTCGAAAGTGGGGAGTGCTCTCGCAGAATCGGGAAGCCTACAGTGACCTGGAGGCATGAGACATGATAGTGAGGAAAATCGATTTGACGATTTTAATTTTTTGAACATATTCATAATTAAATAATCAGATTCGGATTTAAAATAGATTAATCGTGCAGCCCTAGCACACATATATCAGAACTTGGTTATAGTGAGACTTAATGTGGTGTTTGTTAAGCTTTTTCTCTTCTGTGTCACACTCAGTTCATTCGTTTGTTCAGCTGCACCAAGCTTATTTAAGTGAATTAATTAGGTTAAATTTTTTCCAAAAATATTTAGTGGGCAAATGAATACCTCCAGGCATGTTTTTAATCTGTGGCTATTTTAATGGAGAGCTTTTACCAAAAGCAGAAATATGTATTGAATGAAATCCAGTGTTTCGGGTGATAGTTGGTCTGTATGTAGAGAAGTTTGTTGTACAGCAGCAGATGAAGTGAAGTTTCGTCTGATGATCACTGTGTGTTTGCGTGTGTTTTGTGTGACCCCTGTGACACATCAACCTGAAGAGCTGCATCCTTCACCGCAGTGCATCAAGGTAAATGGTGCTGTGCCCTTGAAAAGGCCTATGTGCTAATCCAAGATTAGTGTGTGTGTGTGCGTGTGTGTGTGTGTGTGTGTGTGTGTGTGTGCGCACAGACTGAGAAATGAGTGTGGGCTCAGAGGCTGTTTGTGCAAACAGGTTTGGATGAAGCAGAGAGCGTGTACAGGTGTGTATTCATAATGAGTCGCTGTCACATTTGAGAAGTGGGACTATTTCTCTGTCAGTCAGTGTTGTGCTGATTGACTCATCACTTCATGAACAAATTGTCTCTGCTCATTTGTATGCAGTAATTGTATATATTTGTCTCTGTCTGCTTGTTTGACGAAGCCGTGACTTTATCTGTATCCTTGAAACGGTCCTCAGCTCCACAAACACAAGGTTAGCTGTGAAAAAAGTTGCATTTGTTATTTGCTGCAGCCTGGATAAAATCACAGTGATGATAAAATCTATGACAGAGCATCCTCAAGGACTTAGGACTAAAGGGAGTGTATAAAGAATCAGATTGTACTTCACACAGCAGATGTGTATCTGTCATATAAAAGAAAATGCCTAAATCTTGAAGAAGTAATGTAAAACAGGACTGCCTGGGGAAATTTGAATGCATCTCTGCGCGCCTGACCACAAGGACAATCTGTCTCATAATATTAGAGATCTGAGAGTTGGAGGCTCCAAAATCTCACAACATAAACTTCAAATGTACAGCTTTAACTGTTTCACAGTAAAGAACTTTTACTCAACATTTCCATAACTCAATATATTTTTATATATCTTTATATGTGTATCTGTATCTATCTCTCCCTCTGTATATTCTTTTGAATGAATATGTATGTACTGTATATGCTTAGCTTTGTGTCTTAGTCCCTTTTTTCTCATGATCTCTTTGTCTGACTTTCTCTGGTCTTTCAAAGAGGAAAACTTGATTTGTATGCAGACATCCTTCTTAAACATTGAGTCTGTGTTTGTGAATCAGGCTCTGTGACAGTATCCCCAAATGACAGCATCTGGACGAGGTATATTTCAGTACTTGATGGAATTTATTCAACGCATTTGTGCTGTTTCTGTAACTCTAACTTTTCTGTTTGTTTTTGAAAGATGCTGAAACTACCTTTCCTGGTACTTAAAGGATTTTATTAATACAACAGTCTGTGTAGCTTAACTAATCAAGCAGAAATCCCGCTTGACTCATACACAGTAGTTATTTCTGCTCCAGTTTGGTAGATGATTTGTATTTCATGTCAATATAGGCTATTTTGAGCCCACATTGTCTCTATTTGCCTGAATAAGTTCCAAAATGACACACCAGGTTTTGTGTAAATCTTGTGTCTGTGTCTCTTGGATTTCTTTAGTCATAATGTTACTTATCGACAGGCTCACTTTTTTTTCTGTGTTTTATACATATTTGATGGCATATTAAATTGAACTTCTTAAGCACTGCAGTTTTGGAAACTGAGTGTGCATAGTGCTCTCCCTTCAAGGGCTAAATGGTCGTAAAAACTCTTTTCAATTGATGAACACTTCTTAGAAAGTATATTTTTAAGGAGATGAAAGAAAGAAAAAAGAAGAAAATCAGTGCTATTTTATTTCAGCCTCTAAGGGTTTGTCTGACATTGTATTCATCTGTGTGTGTTCGTGTGTGTGTGTGTGTCTTTCCCTTTCAGGTGGGAGGAATGAAGAGGAGGGTCTGGCAGCCATCAGGAAGATCTGCGAAGAGCACAAAGAGGCCAAAGGTAGACTCCTAAACATGATGGACACAAACACTTGTGCAGTTGCGTACCTGTAAGAAAAAGAGGGAGAAGAAGAGCAGAGTGGTGGCAGTGCATCCCACAGGCTTGTTTTAAAGTTTTTACTCAGGTCACACACATAATTGCACACTTGTAGGTAGCACACATACTGAGACATGCAGAGCCTCCATGCTGGCTGTACAATGTCAGAGGTGTTGTTGATTTACCATGGGGGAGGAGGAGATGAGGGGGAAGGAAAAGGGAGGAAGCACAGGGGGGATAAGTCAAGCAAAGTGTAAAAAAAGGAGGAGTCAAGACAGACGTGGAGGAAGGCACACCTAAGGGAGAGAACATGACAAATGGGCACGTATAGAGCAATAAAAGAGGGGAGAAAAAGACGAGATGGAGGTGCGGAGGTGGTGATAGAGATGGGGGGGAGACAAATGATAGCAGCCAAGAGATTTATTACTACATTGACTAAAGCTTACAGTGTTCTCTGTAACTCCTATGTTGAGAAATTGATTCAGCTGACCTTCACAGCACCATAAATTCAACCCTGGTTCCATGACTAAGAAGCCTCATGAGTTATTCCTTACTGTAGCAACAGCCCTGAGTCTGAAGCACCTTGCAAGGGCTGCCAGTTGCTATTCATCTTCATAGTCATTCAGAGATATTAACAAAGTGGAAGTTATTTGAGTTCTTTGATAAAAAAGACAAACTCAAGGTGGAGTTTTCTTCGCGTATGATGTGAAAAACTGTTTGTTTGCCATTGCGATGCTACCTTTAGTGTTAGAGGATTATTGGATCGGACACCCATCCGCTGTATTTAAATGGAAACCATTTTTTCTTGTGTCATACTAAGCACAATTATATTATGTTGCTTTATGTGCAGTTTATGCTTAAAGAGGGGGAAGGGGGTATTATGCATCTTTTGACAAAGTCTATACTGCCTCTCTGATCCCTCTATAATATCTTTACATGATTTTCGGATTTAAAAATAAAAGCCTCAAATTTCTCACTCTGGCGTATTAAAATATCCATAAGCCGACTTTCTTCTGATTGGCCACCTCTCCGGAGGCTTTCCGGAAGCCAACCAAGGGCAGAGCTTAATGTTTTGGCCCTGCTCACTCTATTGTGGTTGATCAGTTGAGCAGCAGAGCAGCATTACTCCAACAGACATGTATATTATGAACAGTACACTGCACAGTATACACCCTGTGTGTGCACCCTGTGCACCCTGCATAAGGTGGATCAAATTTTGTAAATTAGGACGGTCTAACCGCCAGAGAACTTCCTGGTTGCGTCACCAAATGTCCCCGCCCTCAGGCTCGCGTCACGACTGACTTGAAGAAAAGCCACAGAGTGCAGCAGTTTTTTCTTTTTTATTGTGTGACTTTGAAAACATACAATACATACACAGAACAAAAGACAGACACAAAATAATACATACTTACAAGCACACAGGGATTACTATATACAACGAACAACAAAGTGACAACCACAAAGAGGAAAGGACTTAACGGATCATTTCCACAAAATTCATCCATGATTTCATCCATGGTTTTTGGGCGGCTTTTGAGGATCCTCGGAATCACGAGCGAAATGGGACACCCTTAGCACCACACTGCGAATGGGCACTACCCAGTCGCAGACCCTGAATTGACCCACAGCCAATGTCTACGGTTACCCCACTTGGCTGTGGTGTTTCACCTCACGGGCTGTTGGAGGCAGGCTGTTCAGCTTTGCCGGGAGCTCAAATAAACTAGGAAGGAAAGTCCATAATTCTACTTTAGTGAATCTTGCTCATTGACTAAAATCCCACATTTGTCAGCGATGTGGGCAGTTTACATCTATTTTCAAAGGTTACGACAGCATACGTTTACCTCGTGAGTTCAAACTTTGCATATATCAAGTGTGGACACCAAACCTTGGAACTTTCCATTTTTTGTTGTAAATGTGGAAAAGGATACCACCCCTTTGAAACTGACAAAGCTTTGCCATTTTGTTACTTTGGGATTGATCAGGAACTAAAACAACAATAAAAAGAAAAAGTATGGTCATACAGCACAAAATTTCCACCTTGGCACCACTTTGAAACCAACAGACCAGAGTAGCCATGTATGTTTAGTTTTTTAATGTCGCAGACACACAGCAGAGGATGTCAACTCAAGGGTATGCTTAAATGCAGACACACTCCCACAGCTCAAATCAGTCTGTCCAGCTCCGGGGTCATTGTTGAACTAAAACAGATTCAACAGTGTGCATTTAAGAAAGCTACCCTGCACCCTGGAAACAAACTGTCGATAGAGAGTTCAACAAGTTTTCTTGAAAGCCTCTGCATCAGGACACAACTGTGTGCAAATGATGTGCTAAAAAAACACAGTGCCTCATGAGAGGCCCGTGACTGTCGGCTGCTATTTAAAGGTAGAGTCATCTTGATTGAATGATACCTGAAAGCTTAACAAGCACTCTCCATTTACAATTTATGCTTTTAAACTGAGTCCACAAGGTCCTCTGCTACTATCATTTTCAGCTTTGCATCCTTTGCAGCTTTTAAGCTTTTAATTGCTGCATCATGCTTTTGTATTATCAATAGCTAGATAGTCGCCTTAATTAACAATGAGTGCTTTTCTTAGTGTGTGAGGTCTGGATCTCATGGCAGCTCTTGTTCTTATTTTTTTTCCCTCTGTTGTGTTGTGTACTTGATTCTGATTGGTGGGTTAATATTGCTTAGGTTGATAAAGACTGTAAAGAGCAGACCACTGCAAGGGAAGCAGCTCATCGCGCACACTGTTCAGGACTAACAGATATCATTAAACATAGATATACGGTACATACATCTAAATTAGTGAATGTGACAGAGGAAAAATCAAAACATGAATTTCAGCTGTTAAATAGATAATGTGTATTCAACTTTATCAGACATTAACATAAAAAACAGGAATAGTGACACACTCTCCTTTATTTAGGGGGGAAAAATTTTATGTTCTGTGTAATAGAGTTATAAAGTTTGTCCACAGCCCCATAAGCTTTGCTGGTGGAGGCGGGATTTATGACCTATACTGCAGCCCATCAACAGAGGGTGCTGTTCTCAGAGTGGCTTCACCCAGAGAGGAGGCAGACTCTACAGCCTATGGGCGTTCAGGGATTGCGTTGCTCAGCCGGGGGGATACGCTGTTTGAGCCGAGCGTCATCACAGTGACTCTCGGCGACTGCGCGGCCGAATGCGCGCATCGCTACTGCGCAGCGCTGGTTTCAGGAAATGAAGAAAAATCCTGGAAATATCAAGGATTTTTTGGCTTCAAATCTGTATACAGGCGGTAGGCGGAACCAAGTTGTCCATAGTATAAAGAAAATAAATAAATTAATAAGTAAATAAATAAAGGTTTGCTTCAAAGTGTACTTTTATAAACTAAAAAGGGGACTAGAAGTTTATTACTTGTAAATCAAGAAATTTACTTTCAAGTATGCTTCAAGTGTACTTTCATAAACTAAACATGGTCAAATTTAGTGTGAAGAACTATTAAATTAATATACTTTGTAGTACACTAAAAGTACATGGTCGGTATTATATTTGATATACTTATACTCAACCATACTTAATGAAATGAACTTTAAGTGTACTACTTTTTGCAAAGGGAAACGTATAAAAATTAGTAACATGAGTAACATTCAAAACTTTGTAAAATATTCACATATTCACATAAATGTTTCCATTTATGAAGGCCAAGAATCATGGAAATGATGTTTGCAAGTTGACACATATTCTGTGCAGGCTGGTAGAAATCCTTCTTAATACTTATTCCAGCCATGGTTTGGTTTTGTCGTGGACTGTGTCTCTTCTCTCCTTAAAAGGTAATGTCCTTCTCTTGTCTTTGAAAATGAGACTGTTGTCTGGAGGAAGAAAAAAGCAAACCACTGAACTGTCAAATTTTACTTTATTGACCTAGATAATGAAAAAAGCAAATTCCAGCCCTCTGCCTGGTAGTGACAGCAAATGTCACTGCCTTATTTTAGCACTGCTTTTTCTTTTGGCTGATTAATTGCTCAGTTATTTCAAAAGATACCATCTGAGTTTCACCTTTACACTTAAATTAGGAGATCCCATTCAGTGAATTTAATACATAGTTTAATTAAAGACACGTCTGAGAAGTTTGACTCCTGCGGGTACAACACTGATCCTCAGATTATCAGCCTGTTCTGACTGTATGTGCTTCATCATCTCTCACTGATTGAGCTGACTGCAGCTCATGTATGATACTGATGGGAGGTAGGTTTCAGTTTGCCTTGGCTTTGCCTTAGACAGCTGCAAAGAGCTGGCTGCCTGGCTGGGTCCCTGCTTGTGTGTAAGTGGCTGTCAGGTACAGAGACAGCGGCCATGTAGCTGGTGTCATTGAAGTCGATTTCCCTGGACGGGGCCGTGGTGGAATTGATTACTTCTTTTGTAATTGGCAGGCGCTGAGGCATAGGGGACAAGGGGGGTGTCTGTAGCCAGATGCCTGTGCACTGAATGAGAATGTGTTGATGTGTGTGTTTGTGTGTGCGTGTTTGTATGTGTGTTTCGTTTTGTTTGAGTAAGACGGTAATGGATTCTCATTAGTATGGGAGGCAGGAGCTTTAAACATCTCTGTCTAACGCCCTTTGGCATCCTTCCTGGTGTTTGCACATTGTCTGTTATGAGAAATAGGAGACGGCTCATAATATACATGTGGGCCGCAGAGGTGGTTCTCAAACTGGGGACCAGGGGAAACCATTAAGAGACCTTTGGGTTTTTAAGGTGCCATTAATTACAAAGAAATGATTGTCCTGAAGTAGACTAATATCTTATAGATCAATGCTTTTTGGAGAGTTGGAGTGGTGTGGGTGGCAGTAAAGGAAATCCATCATCAATACCATACTTTGCTTATTTTGAGCTTATAACTTTTATTGAATTGTAATACGGTGTTTGCAACACGAGCCTTATGAAACTTTTGGAGTTATTTTCTATTCCACTTAAATGTTTTTAGATCCTTATATCTATATCTGAAACTGTGATTAACATTTCCAAACTAGCCATGGATAACTGTCTGGTTAATATCTGGTACAACTAGCCATCTAACAAAACCAAGCAAGATCAGGAGCAGTCTTATTACTCTTAAATAAACTTGATTAAAAAAGAAACTCTGATATGAAACTTCCTAACTTTTAGTTGGTGAGCAGCCAAGCTGTTTTGGAGGTCAAGCTAAGGTTTGACTCATCATAATACAAGATCCAATCTTACCTTATCTTAACATCCAATCTCATCCAAGCCTAATCCACCATGAACAGGGCACTTTGCATCATTTAGCAAAGTTACAGTGGTAAAGAAAATCTGTCTTTTAACAAGCAGAGTTTTATCATATTACCATATACTAGAGGTGCCATCAATAAAAAATGTTAAGTACAATCCTGCAGAAATATGCTTTTGATTAGACACTGCAAGTGGGCATTAGCCAGTGAGGATACAATGTAAAATAATTTTAGTTTGAATTAAACACACACACACACACACACACACACACACACACACACACACACACACACACACACACACACACACACACACACACACACACACACAGATATGCAAATAGAGGGTATTTCTGTTTTTTGCCTCAGGCATTGCATTCTGTCCACTAACTTAAGTCACGGTGCGCTTAAAAGTAAAACTTTTTGCCTCAAAGCATAGACCTAGATTTAACAGTGTGAAAGCAGGGCTACCTGTGTGTGTTGGTGTGGGTGAAGGTGTATCTGTGTTTCCTTGCTGAACCAAACTCAAATTTTCTGACTGAAATGACTGTTTCATCCCTCCTATGAATGCTACTGTTATTGATCGAAACTCTTTAGCAAATGTCTGTATGTCCTATGTACTGTATAGAGGCTGTTGTTCTCAGTACATGTAACCCAGGTCCGATCACCACCGATTGCCTGTTCCCCAGCTCTCTCCCCTTGACTCTGACGCTATCCACTGTCCTGTTTCTCTTTAATAAAAGGCCCCAAAATAAATCTTAGAATAAAAAACAGTGTGGTCACATTTATTTGGTTCAGTCATAAAAGTTATTGCATCTGGCCTCTGAGGCTGTAAATACGCTGCACATTATTTCGTAGGGATTGTGTCCATATTGAGTGTTTATTTGTGTAAGCGCTGTATTATTGGATAGTATGAGACAGCCTTACAGCCTTAGACCTTTGGACACTTTCACATTACTGCCGCTTGACTTTTGACTCATGGAAGTATCATCCCTTTAATACTATAAGCCGGAATTGACTGGGTCAACAACTTGCATCCTCTTTCTCACATCAGGTGAAGAAAAATGTACTGTATGTGTAGGAGTGAATACTGGCACAACGCCCAGACTTAATATTCTTGGATATCTCTGAGCTGTTTATCAGAGTGAAAGTATTTACTGTTCTTTCTTGTCACCCTTTGAGAGTCAGTCTCTGAGGGGGCAGTTCTCTTATCCTTTTGTAGTTTTACTCTCTGTGAAGATAGAGAGAGTGTTAATGGATTTACTTCTTATATTCAAAACAAAATATGGCAAACTGATCTTCCAAACTCAAATTAAATCAATCAGTCATATTTGACCAGCAAGATCCTACATTTCAAACTGTTGTGAAAGCTCTGACTGTGAGGCACTTTGTAAAAACTCATCACGTGTTAACACACTAACTGCATTAAATATCTGAGATCTCCTGCATTTTTGCAAGCAATAGATTTTTATGTGTTAACAAGCTGTAAATTTTTTATCCTTTTAGGGGTAATACAGTTTAAAGTCCCACTCCGATCCTTTTTGTTTGTGTGTTCTCAGTGGTCTTTAAGTTGTGATTGTGAGGTTTTTAACCAAAATCACGTTAACTGTGTCATTTTCAAGGGCTTTCCTTCTGTAGAGCTCCAGTAGCTCATTAGCAAATCACCTCTTAGTCATGGGCGGAGACAACGCTGCTCTGCACACTCCTCTTCACACTAGCTTCGGCCTTACATTGTCGGTGTAGTAGAAGTAGCAGGTAACATAGGAGCTATTCAGCTCTGAGACGCTAATGTCTTTGGGAACACGATGAAAGCTATCATAATTAGCTTTCTCACAAGCATTGCAATCCGCTAACACACAAGTTTGTTCCGCGATCGTCCTCTTTACTTCTCCAAGTCTGGCCTGCATCGCAGGGCTCTTGAGGCAGAGCTTGGATTTGCTACGTAGGAAATCTCACTGTGTCTGAACCTGCTGTTTGGGTCTGCCTGAGATTCACAGCGATTTGAATGAAGAAGTATTCAGAAATGCAATTTCACACTTAGTTTTCTCATGATATGTGCTGTAGCATCAGAAAAATGCCATATGGACAAATAGACAACAAGAAAAACATGATTTTCATCAGAGTGAGTCTTTAAAAACCCTATCTACTAGAGTGGTATTAATGTCCGAGAGAGAAATGAAAAATTTCTGTTGAGGAAAGAAGTCAGCCTTTATAATTTTCTCTTACGCTGCTGCTTCTTTTAGAAAGTAGTCAAGATGGAGGAGAAGAAGATGCAACGACATAAGGGCCACAAAGTGAACTTTTGCCCCATGAGTTGAGCATGAGCCGTGAGCATTAGCCGACTTACATATTAATTACCTGCTGTCCTGACAGACTGTGCTTGAATTTGTTATGATGTCTCAGGCGGCCTGTGTGGTAGAGCGGCAGGGGATGTCAAAGTGAGATTTTATGGACATTTACCGTTGCATGCTGAAGTCTTGTTGGAGGAGCAACTCCAAAGTGCTTTTTACCCCTCTGGTCCGATCACAGTTGTATCATGCTGATAATATTGAGAGTACTTCTGCAAATGTAGTTGCAGAAGAAGAAGTTTGAGTTCAGTGCCTGAGCCATCATCTTAGCTAAAACACCTGCTTGGAAAACAAATAAATGTCTACATTTCTAATAAAACATCAGCGGCCACACAGTAAAGAGAAAATAAAAAATGTAGAGAGAAAAAAAATCATAAATAGTTGATATTCATAGTTGATATACGTTCCTCTAACATTCACTCTGATGCCACCATGACATGGCAGGATCTATTTATAGAACCAAATTATGGCTTCTAATAAAAGTGTAACTCTTGTCTGGTGATGAAAATGGAGTTGTTTGTTAGCAGAGGAAAAGGAAAGTTGGAAAAAAGGGTGACAGTCTACAAGCTTTAAAGCAGTCAGAAATCTCCACTCTTCCATGAAACCATCCCTTTGACTTTTGCCCCCATCTAGACTTTACAAGTCATAAATGTGACATGGTGCATTCAAGTGTCTTTGTTTGGAAGTAATTCCAAAAAGCACAGTGTGGCAGTTGTTTTGAAGGCAAAAGAAAAAGAAGTGTGGGGACACAGTAACAAAAATGGCACCTTCACCTTTCAGCTACAATAGTCCTTTCTCACAGCACACAGTCTGACTTGTTATAGAGGGAACAGCACAGGTGATGCCTCTGTTCTCTCACTGTGTCCCAGTTAACCATGCCACTGTGACAGTGAGTCAGTCGGCACAGTATCCGGAAACTGAAATGAGTGAACAGAACAAACACACTACCCTTTTTATTTTCTCTCAGTGTTTTTCTCACAGTGCCACATCAACATATCCATATCCAAATACCCAAATAAAACATTTTTTTTGTGATCAGGAACTGCTCTTACTGGCTCTGCTGCCATTGCCTGGACTGTAGAACAGGATCTTGCTCCAGTTTTCCCTAACAGACATGGTCGACTCCTTCTTATGGCTTAATTTGATATGATATGTGATGAGTAAGGATAGGCGATAAGTTATCGTTCATGATTTATCGTCAGCAAAATCCTATTTGCCACCTCATGATGAATGCAATAAATGCAAGTTTAAGACATAAGCGCGAGCGACGGCCAAAGATGGTGAAGATTGGGGCATAGACGAGCACAATCAGGTAAGCCTGACATTGGACAGTGAATCTGCTACAGCTGTTCACTCAGTGCGATAAGAGTTTTGAATAAATGTTGAAAGCGTTTTCACATTTCTGGCTTGTTTGATGTCACTATTTTCTCCATAACCTACTACTTAAACTTGTGGTTAAGTATCTTATTTGACTATGCCAAATGGAAGGTCAGATCCAAGAACAATGTTTGTGGTGTTCTCAAGACAGAATGAGCCAAAAACATGAATTGGAATGATAATATTTTTTATTGGGATTTTAATCGTTAACGCCAGAATCGCAAAACTTGTCGTGATAAATTTTTGAGCCCATATTGCCCATCCCCAGTGATGATGATTTAACACAGCCAAGCGGGAAAGCCAGTCAATAAATCACCTTAAAAACAACTTTGTGACTTTCTTATGCTGCGTTCCAGTTGTACTTGGAAGTCGGAATTTCCAAGCTCCAAGTCAGAAATTCATCTGGAACAGCCCTTGAAGTCGGATTTTTGACTCGAAAAGTCAGACGATCCTCACCAACCCCGATTTGACGACAACGTCATAAGATGGCGGTGCAGTGCATCAGCGGTAAAGAGTAACAGTGAAAGCTCTCATAATGTATTATTAATTATTTTTGTGAAATTAAATAAGTGGTATATGTTGTACTGCCCAACGTCTAACTGTGAACACGGTGCTATGGTGTTTGTAAGAGTAAAATACTGTGTTATGTGTTGTTTACAGCTGGTATAGCTAACAACAACTAACAACAGCTGAAAACCGCTAACAACAACTGACAACGGCTAATGACAGCTGACAACTGTTAACAACAGCTAACAGTATGCGTCCATCTTGGTTTCCCGACTTTTTAACTGGAACGCCCTCAACTCAGTGTAACGTCATTCCCAGCTCCAACATCCGACTTCTGAGGTAACTGGAACGCAGCATTAGTCTATTTAGAGACAAGTTTTCACTTGGAAATCTGAGGGTTAAAAAACAAGGCCCTGATCTTTTCACTCTCTTTCACCTGTTTCTTAAAAAAAGAATGGACAACAGGAGCACGTTCAGCCTAAACTCAATTCAGCATAATTTGTGTAGCGCAATTTATATGAATGTAAACTTCAGGTATTAGATCATTTAAAAGTAAAACTGAAAGTTCATGATAAAAACATCTCTGCAGCTGCTCATATTTGATAAAAGTAACACACAGCAAAAATGATGAAGAGATGTGGAAAAGCATGAGTGGGCCCATGGGTCTTAAACGCTCTGTCTCCCCCAAAGGCACTTCCTGTTGTTACTTTGTGATAATTCCTGAAGAACAACAATAAAGTCAGTGTGTTTTGCTATTGAGCCGCAGACGTCGCGCTCTATAGAACATCCTGGGTCTTAATAGAGGGCTGGCAGCAGCAGGCTAGAGCCCGATCGATGGCATTTCATTCTCAGTGGGCTTCTTGATACGACTGACCTATCTGAAAAGACTCAGCCCCAAGGGATCCCACTCAAGAGGACAGGAGTGGACTGACAGGCTTGACATCCACACGGATGTGAACACATATCCACAGAAGTATTATCCCTGCTAAATACATGCATACACATACACACACATGCTCTCTGCTGTCCAAATGTCAACAGAGAAAAATAATGTTCCAAAACTGTCATTCTGTCACTACATATACACTCACACACATAAGTACAGTACATACACACTCATCAAAAGGTGAGTGGCAATGGCTTCCAGATAAGGCTGCTATCAGACCCCAATCTAGGATGGCTGCACTCTCATCTGTCATGGCGGCCTTTTTCCCTCTCAGCTCTATCAGGCTTCCTCCCTTCTGCTGCTCTTTAGTCCTCGTCTTGTCTTTGTCCACCATTTGACCCTTTACAGGCTCTCTGGAGTCATATAGGGGGCAATCCTACATTTCGACATTTAGCTTTTTTGTATGGTTTCTGTACATTTGTAAATGCTTTTAACCAAAGACAGATTTTTAACACGAGAAGAAGTAATTCAGAGCAACAGTGAAAAAAGGATCTTTACATATCAGGGTGGGGTTGTTCTGCTCCTGCTGCACAAATGCATAAGATGCAGTCGTAGAGAAATGTGAAGAAAATCTTTTTTTTTCTCTGTTATCTTTATGTTTGTGCTCTGCATAACTTTCTGATTGGGAGATTGTTTCTGTTGTTTGCTGCAAAGATCAATTCACTGGGTGTCAAAATTAACATATAAATGAGTGAAAAAGCTGCAAACAGCACGTACGGTATGTTTTGTATGTTTGCCCTCAGGTAGAGAGAGAGGAAAGTATGTTAAAGCCGGCACCGGGCATGCAAAGGAGGCTGCATGGTGAAGTAGCAATTTAAAGCCTTTCTGTAAGGGATGGGATTTCAATTTGCAGTTAAAGATTAGGAGTGACTCTGCAGTGCTTCAGTTTAGAAAAGTCATTCCACCGAAGGAGAGCCTGTTGGGGAAAGAAGAGAATAACATCTTTACTTTTATTTATCGCAAAAGTAAATGAAGGAGAAGAGAGGAACAGACAGCAAAGGACTAAAAACAAAGTCAAAAAGGAAAAAGCCTCAGAGCCCGCCACAGAATATTAAACAAATTAATTAGATGCTTCAAAATGCTTCAAAAAACTCTTCCATTAACTGACAAAGTTTTGAGTCAGCACCTTACTGCCAGCTTTAAAACCTACTGTGTATTCTGGTCAAACATGCTCAGTCTTGAGCGGTCTGAAGGCCTTGGGACCACTTTTGGATTGTTTGGTCCTGCAGTGAAATCAACTTTCACTTGCTACCTCTTGATAATCTGATCCATTAATAACACAACTTCGCTGTGATGCTAATGACACACAATTTGACATCCCAATCAGACATGGTGACCAGTCAAACACAACTGTCATTTACTGCTTTGAAGAGATACAACCATGGATGTCAGAGTCTGTATGAAAAACTGATCTGAAATATGGTGATGTCCCCCTCACAGAAGAAATTTTCTCACCCAAAATCTTGGTGACTTCTTAAATTATGCTAAATCTGCAGCAAAAAAATGGATGTGATATTTCTTTCAGCTCAGAAACATGACTAAATTACGTTTCCTCGCTGCTGGCTTGAAGGGTACAAATGCGCAGCCGCGCAGCCGGAAGTCAAACCACTGTTGTAGTTCTTTTGTGTTGCTAGCGCGGTCAAGAGTGTTGGCTCTCACTGAGAGATGACTACAAAAATGGACGCACCTGTTCATCTGGTTGTTAAACACGGCTGAAAATGATCATCTTTTAATGTTGTTCCCGCTCCTGCCCACTCCCGTTGCCTTTTTTTCCCGTCCCGTCCCGATCAAGGGATTAATTAAAAAATGACTCCCATCCCGTGGGATTCCCGCGGGAATCACGTGACCCACGGGAATTCCCGAAAAAAGTCATCCTCTACAGGGAAGGTCCCGGAGCAGATGAAACAGGTGCCGGAGCGGCTGAAATAGGTACCGGATCCGATCAAAAGAGGTCCCGGATCGCGCTCCGACTTGCTCCGGCACAAATTAAGCACTGCTTACAATGATCCCCTCACGTGTGTAACCCAGGTAACCCGCAACGGCGGGAGACGCTGGACACGAAGAGGGCACGTAAAGCGGCGTCATGTCGCAAAATCGAAAGAGAAATGCAAGCCTACATGTCAACGCATCCTTTTCTTTGTAAGAAAATATTGTTTTCTTTCCCGTTCGACACCAAATACACTTACTGAATGTGCAATTATTGTTGTTGTTACTATGAATCATCTGATGGCACAAGCCCTATGGATAAAATACAACCTATCGCCCGAAACGATAAAAATAAAAATGGCACGATAGACATTTTCTATCGTGCCCACGATATCTATCGTCCTATCGCCCAGCACTATGCTGATATCACTCCAATATTAGCACCTCGACATCTGTTTTCAGAATTCATTTTCAGATTCTTTTAATCACATTTAAGGCCTGGCATGGATTAGCTCTGCCTGATATTTCTAAACGTTTTATGCCCTTATGTCTGAGATCCTCTGGTCGTACTATGTTGGCTGTTTCAGTGTCCAGGTTGAAAACCAAAGGGGACAGGTCTTTAGCTGTCAAAGCATCCAGGCTCTGGATATCAGACTTGCAGAGTCTGTTTCTCTATTTATTTCACTGCTCAGATACATTTTTACTGCAAAGCTTTTATTTGGGTATTTTTGATTTTATGTTATAATTTACCTTGATTTTACTTGGGTGTGTGCTTTGTATAATATCCTTTTTTTAATTGTGATTGTGAAGCACTTTATCTGTTTTAAAAAGTGCTTTTCTTACAGTTTGAATACAGATTCAAGCACTAAATATTTCAATTTCAGCAGCAGAATTAACTTTACATTATTGCTTATCAATAAAAACCCTGCTAATTCAGAGGTTCTCCTCATCTCTGAAGCTGTTTCAACTTACATGTCCAAGTTTCTATAATTTATTTTCTTTTTTTTCAGAGCTGAAAAGTTTTCAAGAATTACATAATGAAGAGTTTTAAAATTCTTCGTATTCCCTGATTATTTATTAGACATTTTAAAGGAGTAGTTACTACCTTTGCGGGTCTTAAAATGATGGTGTGGTTTCAAACACTCTCCATGCTAAGTAGGTGTATATCTGTCCGAGTTTTAAAGTTTAGTCAGTGTTCAGGGTCTTAATGTTCTTACCTGCCATGCATACTTTCACACTCACAGTTCATGCTCCGGTGATACCAGCTCCTACTTCTGTCTGTTCCTACATTACACCCCATAGAACAGTGTGTTAAGCTTTTGATAGAGCTCAGGAAGAAGCATTAGATTTGATATTATGTGTCGGAGCAACAGAAGTGTAGAGCTGTATTGTAGTGTAAGAGACCACCGAACCTGCTGTAAGAGATGATTAATACACTCTTTGATGTCTTACCAACCAAAACGGCTCCAAGAAATAATCCTTTTAAAATGGCTCTGATATGTGTGTGTGTGTGCCTGTCCCTGTGTTTGTGTGTCCCTGTCAGTGGACTTCATGAGACTGGACCTCGCCTCTTTGCAGTCTGTCCATCAATTTGTTCAGCGCTTCAAGGAGCAGGACCTGCAGCTAAAGATTCTGGTCAATAATGGTGAGTGATTGAAACACATGCTCAAAACTTTTCAGATCCTGTACTGACCACAGAGAAATTAAAAAGATAATTTTATTTAAGGCCACAAATGATATAACTGTTGCTGTCAATAGAGTACTTTTGACGAAGATAATGAAGTTTTTCACATTCAGACTTGATTTCTTAATTTTTTTGTGGGTTTAATCAGGTTTTCACTCATCTTAAATGAGGATATTCCACCTGAAATTTATAGGGGAAAGTGACTGTATATATAAAAATCATGTGTTACAAATGTATGATATTTGTGGACAATCAGTGGACCCTTTTTTATGGACTTTAAATGTTTGTCTGTGTCTAGCGGGTGTCATGCTGGTTCCCGAGGGCCGGACTGAGGATGGATTTGAGCAGCACTTTGGTGTAAACTACCTAGGTCATTTCTTGTTGACCTGGCTCCTCCTGGACACACTGAAGAATTCTGGGAAATGTGGGGATTTCTCTCGAGTGATTAACGTCTCCTCGTCAGCCCACCGCATTGGGGAGATCCAACTAAATGACCTGAACAGCAGGTACAGACATTCATTCAGCCAGCATGCAAGATGCTGTATTATGCAGGAAGCAAAATAATAAAAAAGAGGTTTATGAAACAAGCATTTGAGAAATAGATGAAAGGTAACAGCATGTTAAACAGAAACAGAAAACATTAGTTTAATATCAGCCAGGGCCGCACAATTTTGACCAAAAATAAAATCCCGATTTTTTTCTCTGAAAACTCCATTTTCATCTAAGATTTTTTATTCAGTTACAACTTCACCAAACTTCACTTTTATGTTAAGTTTTTCTATCATCTCTCAAAACAAAACCATTGAAAACGATGTAGTGCATATGCCAAGCCAGTTAGTGGCGCTGTAACGCTGCCCAGGAAATGCACAAAAGACAGAAGAAGAGTACAGAGCAAGTGTATAAAGGTTGTTTTGGTCCGACACGTGCAGGCGCCATAAAAGAGTTACACTGTGTGTCACATGATCGTTTCCAGAGAGATGCAGATAGACATCCACTGGTAGTCGTTTACAGATTTATGCACTTTCTGACCCATTTTCAAAAAGCACTGTTTACAGGCATTGGAATTGTCATTTCCGTGTGGATGAAATGCCGATACGACAGAAAACTTTTGCGTTTACTCACAAATTCGTTTCCCTGTGGACGGGGTGATACCGCCTTCAGACAGACTTTGCAGCAGGGAGGGGTTTGCTCTTCATTTGAAACTGCAAAGCTGTACCAATTCCTCACGACTGATTTTCTCTTGCCCGTTATAGCTACAAAATTATCGCTTTCTTTTGCAAACACCATGTTTGTTTACACTGGTGTGTGTGGGAACTGGGCAGCACTCTCGCAGGAAGGGGGAGCCTATGGTGGCCTGGAGGGGCGAGACATGATAGAGAGGAGAGTCGATTTGACAATTTTAATTTTTTTTAACTTTATAATTAAATCATTTGATTACGATCTTAAAAAGATTAATCGTGCAGCCCTAATATCAGCTAACCTTGTTGTTAACTTAAATACATTTTCTTTGGGCAGGGTCATCACCCACACCTTGTGGTCATTTCCTCTGTGCTGGTAATTTTCTGTCTGCATCAAGGGTCACCTGTTGGCTTCAGTTCCCTCAGAATCACTGTAGCGAGCAGCTCTGCTGTCCACAAGCATTAGCACCTGAAATGTCTTCATTGTGTTGAAGCTGTGCTTCAGTGGTGAGCTGAGAAAAATGAAAGTGTACTCATTGTGAGTGTGCTTTTCTTTTCTTCCGGCCACTCACAGCCTTTCGCACCACAGACATATTCACCCTTTCACCAAACATAAACCCACGGCAGAGGCTTTTTCAGTAACTAGCTAATGACTTTGAGATGTGGGCTGCAGGATCAAACAGTTAATCTTCATAAGATCACCAGCCTTACCTCTGTCTCTGGAACATTTTGTGTATTTTCAAATAATCTGTCACATTTTGTTTTTCAAATCTCCCACCTTTGACACAAATCATTTATTGATCAAATTTGAACTCCTGCACTTATTTGACTGTACATTTCATATTTGTGCTCTCAGGTTAACAATACCTGCCTCTTAAAACCACGAATATTATAGATAAAGAACACATCACATTTGTCACATTTGTGTTTTTAGGTGTGTGTCTATTTACATTAAAGTTGAAGCTTGCCACCTGTTTGAATGTTCAGGCCTTGTATTACAGCTGTGCTTTTTTTATAATAGCAGATGCCTGCATTGACAGTCTGACAGATGATCAACAGGAACATTGAGAATTTCAATGACATTAAAGCATAAAAACATTTCTGATCTTGCAGCCACAAACACATCCTGAAAAATCATACAAATTGTCCTAGAGAGGTTGTTCCTGAGCTTTGGATGATTTTTTTGTAAATAAGTGTCTTTGCAGATCTCCACAGGGCTGGTTTCAATGACACTGTGTGTCCTTGTTTGCTAAATTTGATCACTGAGCCTGGAGATTCAGGGAGGTAGTGTTAACTTTCAACTCAAAAAAGAACTTGGCCTTGTTTTATGGGACAAGTTACTCTCCTGATTTAAAATGTCACTAACTGTGCCTACAAATGATCAAAACAAACTGAAAAAACACAAAATTCTTCTGACCTTGTTTATTAAACAGAGGCACGTTTCATTTTGTCTTCTTTTTCTACATCTCTCTCTCTCTCTCTCTCTCTCTCTCTCTCTCTTCCTCTCTTGTCAGCCAGCGCTATTCAGCCCATGCTGCTTATTGTAACAGTAAACTGGCACAGCTGTTCTTCAGCTCCCACCTTCATCGGGAGCTGCAGCATGGAGGTTTTCCACTGAGTTCATGTGCTGTGGATCCAGGAATCGTGGATACGTCTCTCTATCGCCACCTCTGGAAGCCCCTCCACTTGGCACACAGAACAATTGCTCACCTTCTTTTCCGGGTAAAACACTGTCCTGACTTTCATCCGCCTTTTCACAGCGAGACTAAATTGCTTAAATTGATTTCTCTCATCCAGCAGGAGAGGAGGGAGATATGAAAGAAAATTGAACTTCATTTGGTATTCCTTTTCATGTGAAATTTCAAGTAGGTTTTTTGGTGCCGTGTTATATTTGAAAGGGTATTCCTGTGAGTTGCATGATGTACATTTTAATAAGGCTGACAGACTTGGACACTTTCTTGTTTAAGGCTCACATTGTGGTTCCAGAAATAATCAGAAGACGCCAAAGCCTTCAAACTCTCCAAATATCAGCAGATTTGGCTGTTGTCCTCTTTAATTTGTGTTGAACTGAAAAGACTGAAATGTAAATCCCTTTAGGGTGAAAAAAGTAGTTGAGTGTATTTGCTCAAGGTCTCAGAGATTTAAAAACCTGTTTCTGCTGTGAGAAAACAAGCGATCTGCACTCCATCTCCTCCGCAGTGATAAAGGACTTCTGAAGTGCTGTCTGCTCTTTGGAAATAGAGTCCTCGTTTTGAAAAGTCACAATTGAACCATGTCTAAGCCTCCCCTAGTGAGTCAAGTTAAACTCTGCCTCCTCTTCAGCACACATGCCAAATTCTGAATACAGTCAGGTGTAAACAATTATACTAGCAACTGTTGTCAGAACTTTCAGAAGAAGCAAACTTAATGAAAAACAAATACAATACATTCAATGAATATTTAGCATTTTCAAATTATGCAAAATTGGGATGATCCAGAAACACTGATGATTTTTCTTGGCCTGAGCCCAATTAGGGGGGTCACAGGCAAAGTGGAAAAATGTCCAATGATCTGATGAATCAAATGTGACTTTCTTTTTGGAAAGCATTTGATTGAAAAGTCTCTTCTTGTCTTGTAAAACAACCCCTGCCCTTTTTTAACCAGCACTCAACCAGCATCGCTCTCACACCAGCAGTTATCAGGTAGAGTAACAACAGCGACAGGTTTCTGACAGCCTATGCAGACAGAACTGTGTTCCTCAATTCTTTGACTAATGTATCATCCACTATTTCTGTGTTCAAGGGTATGTTTGGCCTGAATGCATGGTCTAAAGTATTTCTAAAGCTCACCATCTCCTCACACCTGTTACCTCGCACTGTACCACTGCAGGTGCAATCGCCATAAGGCACATTTTGCAGCACAGCCTCTCCATGATCCGTCCACATTTAGCCTCAGCAGTTACCAGCACTGGATTGATATATAGTATTGATAATGGGAGTAAACTAACCTGAAAGCAGCAAGATGTTCCTGAAAGCAACCAAGCTCTATTGACTTGCAGCACGACTGCAGAGGACAGACTTTAAAGTCATGGACAACACATTTTCCTCTTGCATTTGGAAACACAAAAATAGCAGTGTGACACATTTTGATTCATTTGTTCAACATGCACGTCCTGCAATGAAACTATTGCACATCATAAAGCTTCTATCCAACAGATTTACTGGGCAGCCTTTGTCCAAAACTGCTGACTGTTTAAAAAGACAGACCTCCTGTATATTCAACAGCTTGGAGTCGAGGGCAGATCCGTGTCATATCTCAAAAAGATAAAACATTATTCTTTTTAAATAATGAGCAGAGGTTAAGTTCAGAAGAATCAATAGACATTCATGGGAGGTGCTGTATTTTAGTATGTAGCTAAAAGGAGCCTTGCTGTGTGTTGCCCTGTGCTCACTTAGCTCTCCTACAGCAGACAGGTCTCATTCACAGACTGCAAATACTGACATTTGGTTCTTTCAAGTCGTCCTTCATTCAGACACACTGTGTACCCTTCAGAGCATGTAGTAGTCAACCATGGATCAGAGGAGAGAGACAGTGATGGGATGTCACCCTGTCATTCAGTTTTCCTTTAGCAAAAAGCTGGGGAAAACCCATCAAAAATAGTAATAAAATAATATTTATACCCTCTTTAGCATTCAAAAACGGTCACAATGTCTGAGGTGCTGCTGCTTCATTGTTAAGCGCTATTCAAGGTACCGCAGTAACATGAACGACAAACTGGAAGGCAACATAATATTGTGTACAAGGTTTTATTACACACAAGGAACCACAGACACATTGAGGCACATGCAGTCTATCCACATGACAGAAAACTAAAGCAGTGCTAAAATCAAAGCAGGCAGCTCACAGTGTATTATATTTTTAAACATTTCTTGCATAGCTTCAAGCGCAGGCCGCAGGCTGCTGTTAATGTCCCGGGGATCTAATGGAAGGAGACAAGTGTGCGTGCACGAGCTCAAAAGTGCAATTGTCGCTGGCATTTGCCTATGAGCGCAACCTTTGGGGTGCTTCTGCTCCACATACGTTAACACAATATTATCACAAACTCATACATATAATCATTACCACACACACACACACACACACACACACACACACACACACACACACACACACACAGACTGGCTCTGCAGATACATTACCTTTGAACCTCAAGCCATAACATGCAGGTTCATGCAGAGCTGAAAAATAGAGAAGGGCTGGAAAGAAATGACAAACTTTGTCTTTGTTAAGAACTAAACAAAACGATTTTAGGAAAATTTAGGCAGATATTATAGAAAAAAATCAATCACTGAAGCATGAAAGCTGATGTTCTTTGACAAGGAAATGGATTATTGTTCATGTCTGGCTACGTAAGGAGAATCATTCATTCAGTTATGAATAAGACTGTCAAATTTTTAAATTCCAGCTCTAGATTAGTGACTTATTTCTGATTTAAAACTGGTGATCTACCTATTCATATTTATAGTAGAGTTTAATGTTGTACATGCTCACTGTGTCCCACACAACTGTTCACACAGACCTTTGTATTGATCATGAAAATGAGTGACCCTTGCCAAACACACACACAAAATAAAGGTTTGTCACTTTGATCTTATATGGTGTTAAACTACAGGCAAGGGATTAAAAAAGACAACAACTACTAAAACTACTGGCTGATAATAATGTAATGTGAATGAAAATTTTTCTAGTCATATATAATCAAGAAAACCCACTCATTCTTTCAAATACGAAAGTAATAGGTTCTTTTTAAATGTATTTGTTGTAGCCAAGTCTGTTTCATAGTTGGAATTTTCTCGAAAAACACAATGTTTATAAACTCCTTCATTAGCTAGGACAGGAAACATGTGTCTTACCCACCTTCGCTAAAAATCATATACCTGGAGTGGGCTCACATGAAATTAGAGATCATTGACTGTATTAGTCAGGGGTTTACATCACTAAAAGATAACTAGACTAGACAAGTAGTGAAGAAGAGGTCAAACTTCCTAAGCATTATAATTTACCACAACAAGGAACTGTGGCTTTCTGTTATGGATATGTTTTTTTCTTTTTTACAAAGGGCTTTCTAGGAAGTGGGTTTTTTTGTGCTAAAACTCCTCCATGTGTGAACAGACCTTCAAACTACAGACAGCAACATGTATAATGAAGTACCGGTTATGTTTTGTCAGTCGCACTGAAAAATGTAGCCCTGAGAGCATAATAATTCATTCAGAAAAACAATTAAAATTGATGTTTTGAAAATAACAGGGACAACTACAACACAAACACACAGACATACACACACAATACACATGAATACTGGTGCGCGCACACACGCACAAAGTATCCAAGAATGGTGTTGATCCTTGCTGGATGTTATCCCTTCCCTGTTCTGAAACATGCTCCCAGTCTCAAAGCTGACACTGAGATCATTGTTAAAATGCATCAACACTAACACTCAGGCACGCTCATGCATACAGACAGACAGACAGACAGACACACACACACACACAGTCTGCTTTTCACTGACACTGATATACAGTGACACCAGCCCCTCCTCTGGCTTTTGCATTCACTCACAAACACACAAAATAACACACAAACACAAGCGATGTGTTTCTTGCAGTGATAACTTATTGTTGAACATGTTATTATTATTCAGGGATGCAGGATGTTGGATTTCTGTTTACATCTGATATGCTGGTATTTTTCCTCCACATGCACAACCATATTTCCACCCTCTGTAGAAACCATCAGCTGTTGTTAATGCAAAAATATTTCCAAAGTAATGGTGTGGCTGTAGTTGAAACCCTGCCTATGTAAAGACGTAATCTAAATGCCTTTTAAATATTAAGACAAAAACCATAAACAGACATTTTAGTTCATGCAGAGCTCCTGTGACTCCGCTATCATGGTACTGTATTTATGATATAGATTAAACATTCCTATTCAGTCCATACGCGTGAAAGCATAATGAAGCTTTTAACGGAGGAACAGGGAGGGGATAACATCCAGCAAGGATCAACACCACTCTTGGATACTTTGTGCGTGTGTGTGTGTGTGTGTGTGTGTGTGCGCATCTTTTTAACGGATGCTTTTTTTTTTTTTTTAAGACTTAAGGCTTTCAACAGACACCAAAAAACATTCACTATTCGGCCTCTTTTTAACGGTGGCCATTGAAGCTTTGTCAAAGAGTGTTTTAATAGAAAAAGAGCCACTGGGCAGTATACTCTGCAGCTGTTCCAGCAGCAAAAGCAACATTGTGTTCCCCTTGTTACTCTTTTGGATGCTTTTTGGGCAGAAATCTCTGCTGGAACAGGATCCTGGGACACTGTCTTGACATGATGATATTGTTAGATCAGCCCTTAAACTCAAGCAAAAAATACCATTTTTTTTTAAGGGTTTTGTATGGGGCTTTGGTTGCTTTCACTTGAGAAGGCAGTTTAAGTGAGACAGAAATGCGGCCATGGAAGTCAGGCCACTGTTTATTTTATTACTGAAAAGGGAGAAAAAAAATCCAAACCTACATGGCCCTGTGTGAAAAAGTGATTGCCTCCTAACCTTTATAACTCGTTGGTCCACCCTAAGCAGCAACAACTGCAATCAAGCATCTAACTTGCAGTGAGTCTCTTCCAGCGCTGTCAAGGAATTTTGGCCCACTTATCTTTGCAGAATTGTTGTAATTCAGCCACATTGGAGGGTTTTCGAGCATGAACCACCTTTTTAAGGTCATGCCACAGCATCTCAATAGGATTTCAGTCAGGACTTTGACCAGGCCAGTCCAAAGTCTTCATTTTGTTTTTCTTCAACCATTCAGAGGTGGACTCGCTGGCGTGTTTTGGATCATTGTCCTGCTGCAGAACCCAAGTTTGTTTCAGCTTGAGGTCACAAACAGATGGATGGACATTCTCTTTCAGGATTTTTTGGTAGACAGCTGAATTCATGGTTCCATCTATCACAGCAAGTCTTTCAGGTTCTGAAGCAGCAAAACAGCCCCAGACCATCACACTACCACCACCATATTTAACTGTTGGTATGATGGTCTTTTTCTGAACTGGGGTGTTACTTTTACATCAGATGTAATCGGACACACAAGTCCCTATGTGGCAAGTTCAAGTCCTTTGCTCTAAAGTCTCGAGTCAAGTCCAAGTCCTGCACTTTTTGTTTCGAGTCCCAACCAGGTCCTAGGAATTTTGCTTCAAGTCCCAACCAAGTCCTTATCGTTTCTTTCAAGTCAAAAACAAGTCATATAAAAGCCATAAACCATTTGTTATATGTAAAGATTTACATAAATCATTAACATTTTTCACCATTTGCATTTATTATTAAACAAGGGTTCTTGTTTGTGTTATGTTACATGGTGCAGCTTTAACCAAACTATTTTACATGTCATACAGAAATTAAACAGATAAACTTCAATAATTGGAAACTTAGACAATGTGCACAAAAATAAGCAAGACTCAAATACAATTAAACATTAAACTGATACTATAATTCACTGTTCCAAAACAAAACAAAAGATAATCAGATGGCTGTAGCACGATTAAGCATGAGAACATAACTCACTTACATTGTCTCTATCACTTTATCTTCCAAAATGTGTAAGATATTTTCAACAAAACAATTCTTACTTATGTTGCATGTTTTGTATGAAGTACATCAAATGTAAGGAAATGAAAAGAACATAAGATTTAGGAATAACCTGTGTGTATGTGCGCATGCATGTGTGTGTGCGTGCGTGTCTAAAGGCCCTATAATGCATTGCATTTGCAAAAAAACAGATTGGCCAAAAGTTTGTCCGTCATCTGTGCCCAATGGGGCTGCATTATGATTCCACCATGGCTGAAAACTCGCTCTACCGTAGCACTGGAGGCAGACACTGCCAAAACTCTGGTGGCCAATCAGAACAGTGACGGAAGACCCTTCATGTGTGCTGCCCAGAATGAGAGCACATGCTGTCCTTCACATATGTCAAGGTAGTTACTTAACTGTAGTGATGGAGAGGTCCCAACATCTTTCCTCCGTCTCTTGTGGTATGCAGCAAACAGACCTCCCCCTTCTCCAAGGTCATCTTGGTCTTCCTCTTCAACAAGAGACACAGGCTGCTCAACCTGTGCAGCATCTTGCACTATCAGTTCTGCGAACACATAGACAAGAAACAGAAAAAGAGCCCTTAATTACTATCATTGTTGATGGGTTTAACTAAGTATTACTGTTTCAGTCAATTACATCAAATTAGAAGAAATTAGTTAGAATCTGACTATTCACCTTTCATCCGTTGTTTAAACTCTGCCTTGACTTCAGGACTGACCAGCACATGGTGCTCCACCCACATCAGAGTAAAGGCTGGATCCAAGGCAGCAGCTTTAAGGTAGATTGGGTCTTCAAAGGGGGCAGTGATTCCATCCTGTGTTCTGGCCATTTCAAAAATTCCAAGAAATCTTTTCTTCAGGGATTCCTAGAGACTTCTGACCAGACCGCTCTGGAAACAGACATTAGGCTTCAGCTTCTCAAGGTGGTGATTCAGGGACAGGACAGAGGGAACAACAGAGCTTATTGTGACAACCTTCTCCCCCTGTGTCAAATCTGTTGCTTCTCCAAATGGGTTCAAGATTTCCACTAACTCCTTCAACAGGTTCCACTCCCGTGATGTGAACAACTCCCTCTGCCCAGCATTTTCTACAGTGCGAGAGAGTTTTGCATGATCAAAATGCAGAACCGCCTTCACTTGTCTCAGTGTTGAGTTCCATCTTGTATTGACAGCAGCAGGAATGCCTCTGTGTTCTCCAAATTCAGCATTAAACACATCTTTGAACATTGAGCTTGTGGTGCAGCAATGAGCTCAATTTGGATAACTTTGAGAGAGCAGGAGATGACACTTGTTTCTTTTAAACTGTCTCCCACCACCAGCTCAAGAGTGTGCGCAAAACACTGCAAGCGCTGTTTTTTTGCCGTAGCAGCATCTACTGTCTGTTGATCTTCCAGGGTGAGTTCATTCCAGAGCTCTGGGTCATCAATATGATCGTTGTCATAGACTTCATCTTCGTGTTCAGTGGGGAAGCACACCGTGAATGCTTTTCGCATGTTCTCAGCATTATCACTAATGATGTACTCTACTTTATCTTTTGTATCATAGTCATCACATATAGTCTCAAACTGCTCACAGATTCTCTCAGCTGTGTGTGAGCCTTTGAAACGGTCACAGGCCAAGAGGTTGGACCTTAGCTGTAGGCTCTCTGCATCTTTCTCGATATGGTGCACAGTTACACCAAGGAACCCCCTCATCCTACGGTCAGACCAAATGTCCAGAGTGACTAAGACATGTTCTGTGTTGCTCAATTGAGTTTTCAATTTTGAACGTCTCTCTGCAGCTATGTCCTCTGTTTTTGATGTCAGTGTTCTGCGACTCACTGGGTTGTATTTGCTGTCAACTAATTTCATAAAGTGCCGAAAACTGGGGTGTTCGACAACAGAAAAGGGCAAGTTGCAGTCGATAACTAAATCGGACAGTATTGCATTTGTGATCGCTCTCTGCTGTGGATGAGTGGAGGTGTACTGATGTACACCCGTGTCCATGAACTGGGAGATTGGAGGCTGTGATGGGCTTGGCGTGGATTTACTCTGCTTTTATGCATCATATCTGTAAAATGGCATATAAAACAGATGTCATAAAATGCCTTGTAGCCCTAAATGAATTGCAGTTGAAACTACTTTTTATTTGTTTATTATTCATTTCATCCCCCCTCAGTTCCCAAATGTTTAAATTTACTTGAGTAAAAGTACAAAAGTATTGGTATCAAAATGTACTTAAAGTACCAAAAGTGTAATACTCATTATGCAGAATGTCCCATCTCACAAATTTTCAAATGTATAAAAAGCTGTGGAAAATAGTCGATCTACAAGTTCATTGTGAGCTTGTAGATCAACTATTTTCCAAAACAAAGACGGTTTTATGGAGTTGATTGAAAGCCAACTCTACTAAGTGGGAACACTTTGACCCCCACCTCACATCTAAAATACACTTTTTGGACAGAAAAGAAAATATTTCACCAGACTTTTTTGGTTACTCCACAGCGCCCCGACAGATCTGGTTAATTTATTTATTTCTATATTGACCAGATTTTTCTGTTCAAAAAGTATTTTAGACGTGAGGTGGGGGGCTCAGAGTGTTCCCACCTAGTAGAGTTGGCTCTCAACTACATAAAACCGTCTTTGTTTTGGCGAGTAGCAAAAGAGTATATATTTTTTTATTTTTACTGCAGACGAGAGGCTGTGCTACCGCGGTGCTAGCGAAATGGCTAGAAATTCCCATAGCCAATAGCTAATGTGGATCGTCTTACATGTCTTTGTGAGTGTCCCTCAAATGTCGATCAAAGTTGGAATTAGTTTTCATTCCATCGCTGATTTTGGCACCGCATGTCTTGCATTGGGCTTTTCTTTTCTTTTTGATGTCATCCAGCTTGTAATTTTTAAAACCAAAAGCTATAACTGCGGGAGTAGTCATGTCTCCTGGCTTCCACTTCAGTTCACCAGTCCAGCAGTAGTGACAGAGTGAAGCCGGGTGTGTTTGTTGTTTAGTGTTGCCCGTTTAAATTGCCTGTGTTGCGATTTATGTCCAGTCCTCCCGGTGTTGTCGTTATGAGGGAGGCTAGAGTTTGAGTCAGTGTTGCCAAGTTTCGTGAGAGAAATAAGGAAACAGATCTCCAGAAACAAGCCAAAAACAAGCAAATTTTTTTTGAGGGAAATAAGCATACTTGGAAACACAACACGGTGTTACCAACATCCTGACAATTAGTTGATGCGACACTTTTTAAACAGTTTGCTTGCTGTAAGGTATTAAGTGACTTGAAAAGACTTGACTTTTCAAGTCACTGGGCTCAAGTCAAGTCAAGTCTCAAGTCTTTAGCAATCAAGTCCCAAGCGAGTTCAAGTCATTTCTTGATTTCATCAAGCAAGTCTTACGTCATCAAGAACGGGACTCAAGTCCAAGTCGAGTCTCGAGTCAAGTCGTCAAGCCCCCTGCTCTGGTATTTTCCCAAAGGACTTGGGGACCATCAGGATGTTTTATGGCCAAATTGAGACAAGCCTTAATGTTCCTTTCATTCAGCAGTGGTTTTGGTCTTGGAACTCTGCCATGCACACCGTTTTTTGCCCAGTGTCTTTCTTATGGTGGAGTCATGAATACTGACCTTAACTGAGGCAAGTGAGGCCTGCAGTTCTTTGGATGTTGTTGTGGGGTCATTTGTGACCTCTTGGATGAGTCGTTGTTACGCCCTTGGGGTAATTTGGGTTGGCTGGCCACTCCTGGGAAGGTTCACCACTGTTCCATGTTTTCACCATTTGTGGATAATGGCTCTTACTGTGGTTCGCTGGAGTCCTAAAGTTTTAGAGTTGGCTTTATAACCTTTTCCAGACCGATAGATCTCAATTTCTTTCCTTTTTATTTGGTCCTTAATTACTTTATATCTTAGCATGATGTCTAGCTTTTGAGGATCTTTTGGTCTACATCACTTTGTCAGGCAGGTCCTATTTAAGTGATTTCTTGATTGAGAACAGGTGTGGCAGTAATCAGGCCTGGGTGTGGCAGGAGAAATTGAACTCAGATGTGATAAACCACAGGTAAAGGTCCCATATTATGCAAAATTCACTTTGGAATGGTTTTCTAACAATAATATGCGTCCCTAGCCTGTCTAAATTTGTTTGATGATCTGAAACATTTAAGTGTGACAAACATGCAAAAAAATAAAAAAGAAGAAATCAAACACTTCTTCACACCACTAAATATATTTTTTGCGTACCCATACATTGGGTTCCTACTGTTTGAAAATAATTGCATCAAACCGTTTACTTAATTTGCGCTCATTTGAGTGTTTATGTGTGTGTTTTCCTCAGATTCCTTCAGAGGGCGCTGCTACTGTGCTGTACGCCGCCTTGTCCCCGGACCTGGAGGGAGAGAATGGAGGGGGATTCTGGGCCAATGGGCACAGAGAGATGACAACACCACTGACCTTTGACCCCCAGCTACAGCTGAGTCTTTGGGAAGCCAGCCTGCAGCTGCTGGGCCTGCAGTAGCATGGAGCTAAAGGACAACTGACTGGACTAGTCCTCAAGAAAAAAACATCAGATAAGAACCTTAACCCAGGGGTCATCCTGCCACCTCCTCTCCCCCTCTTTTTTCTCAGTATTTCTTTCCGATCTACACCTCATATCAAGGGGTTTGTAGCGATTCATGTTGAAAATGTGGACTGTGATTGGGAGTGAAGACCTCCTTTTTATTTCAAACCCGCCAAAGAAGGGCTTCAGGGGATGGAAGAGGTTTTATGATTTTCACAATGAGCAAACAGACATATATGCACATGTAAAAACATATGCTGGGGTTTTATCAATGTAGGAATATGCTGTAGATACTAGGCAGTGGTTCACACTTAGTTAGAAATGGACCTTCATCTCCAAAAGTAGATTTACTGATAGTGAATAACTTCTGGTCGGAAGAAATCATTCTATAATTCATTGTTCCAACACCTGCCTCACTCTGCCTTAATGTCATTGGTTTGGCTTTCTGTGAAAAACCTTCTTACCCTCCACATCAAACAAATAGGATGCTCCAGAGGCTTCTCCATCACAAGACCAATCTCTGGCTAAACAGATGAACAAAGCACTAATTTTGGGGCAGAAAAAACATCACATCATGATCTAAATTTCTAGGTAGGACACTAACTTCAAAGTCATATTATGCTCAAGCCTTGGCACACACACGCACACACACACACACACACACACACACACACACACAAACACAGAGACTCATGCACTACGACAATGGACTGATTCTTCAAATCTGAGCCTGCCTTGCTCTGGCGGGGGAATGTGATGTCATCAGTATGCTCTAAGAGATCTCCATGATTTCTCCGATCGTCTGCCGTCCCGCTGGGATGTCTGAGAGCACTTTAATTTCAACCATATTCATGTGCTTTTACCGTTTTCAGCTTGATCATTTTAAACTAGTAGGTGTATTATAAGCTGTGTTCTTGAAATAGGTGAATTTTGCCGTTGTCTGTAATTTGTTTGGAAAACATGATCATGTTCTCTTTCCTCTCTTTCTCTTAAACGCACAGTTATCCCTCACATGACATTCCTTCAGCCCGTGTAGAGAAAATGCTGAAAAAGTAGGATGAAGTTCTGTGTAAAAGCTGACCTATATGTGGAATCATTCACGGTTACAGACTGGAGAGTGGTGCGGCCTTCAGTTGGTGCTGGGATTTTTTGTTTGTTTGTTTGGTTTTACTGCTTTTGTTTTCTGAAGCCGGGATTTCCAGATGTTTGTTTGCTTTTTTTCTGCCCAGACACAAAAAGAGAAGGATAGGGATCGGACCGCCACTTCACTTTTTCCCTGTTTTCCTTTGTGATTTGTGTTAATCGTTTTTACCGTGTCTGTGATATGTGTGTGTGTTTAATGCACAGGATGTACTCACGTTACAGACCTGATTCATGTTGGTGGAGAGCACAACAATAGTGAGTCCTGGAGGAACACTGACAGGATGGGAGTGAGAGGAAATGCACCTTTTTTCAATTACAATACCGATGATTGGTTCCTCATGGCTTCTGCTGCCATTCCATGTTTGACGCAGCTCCCGGTGCATTGTGGGATTGAGATTTCCCAGTGGTGAGAATTAAACTCCATCTGCTGAGCCGCACACACACACTCACTCTGAAACGCTGAAAGCAGTAGATCCAGGCAAAGGCTTATCTAAACAAGCACACAGCAAACAAACACGTCTAGTCCTCATGCAGGAAAATACCCACTTCCACACAAACACATACACACTAATTCATGCTGCGCCATAATACCATCTCCACTGTGATAAACCATTTTAGCTGTGAAGATGAAAGTTTTATCTCAAATTAACAAGTTTTGGCTCAATATTGTTGCCCACATGCCCTCCCATGACTCGGTGTGAATCCTGCCACCAAGCACTCAGTGTCCATCATCTGCCGTATGTGAAGCAATAGTGTCTTTGCAATAGCTAAGTAGCTTCAAGAGAGACATTCAGATACAAGAAGAGCCCAACACTATGAGTGTGTCATAGTCTTCGTGCTACCCTCATGTTAGAAATGACATTTCTCTGTCTACAGGAAGAGAACATAGACTGTACAATACATGGATGTAGTCTCAGAGACGTCGCCCACTGATTTTCTTAAGAGCTATTTTAAAGCCCAACAGTAGTGGTCGCCATATCAGAAATGCCAGACTATTGGTCGTCTTCAACATCTTAGACAGCTTCTTGGTGTCCCATACATAACTCTGAGCCTTCTTACCATCTCAACAGATGCATTATTAAAAAAAAAAAAACTTATCTCCATTCAGTGTGTAGAAATAAAGGAACGAGCTACACAGACCAAAAACTGTTTCTCAGCCAGGCTGCAAACCTGTTTCTTCCTGCTGTTAAAAACATGCTGACTTTTGCAGCCAGCCTCAAGTGGACCCTTTAGAAACTGCAGTTCTTTGCACTTCTGCTTTTGCTTTTTTCCCCCCAACACTAGAGATCACTGATTGGCATGAAAAAACATCAAATGGTATGATTTATTAGCATTATTTAGACTGCATAAATTTGAAGTCTTCAGGCTCAACAAGAGGTTAAAGCTTTTGTCACATTTCAGGAGCTGGATCCTCTGTTGGATTCAGCCCACCTCCCCATCATGAGACACAGGTGTAGACTTAAGGATATGATATCAAAACTGAGCATGTGTTCAGATGCGCCTTGACTATTCCTATATGTCCAAGGTTATTATAGCCAATGGGCTTTAAGTACTTGCTGTGGTTTTAAAGTCAAATATTTGAAGAGGCTAAAGGTTCAAAGATCCATATCACTTCCATTTGTAAGTAAAGCCCCTTGAGCGACTCATTCATTCTGTGAATTATAGAGTACATGCCTGGCCTCCATTATTTACAACCTATTGCTGGTCTTGTCTATACAGTGTGGACAGAGGGATCACCAGGGACCTGGTAAATATGACCTAATAATCTGGGTTGACAAAGACTTGGTTATATCAGGACATAATGGGTTGGTGAATCTTGTGGGATAGATGTGTCCTGCAGATCTGGGTTGAACAGAGGCTGGCATTTCTTCACATTTTGTGAAGGTCTCCTCAGATCATCATGGAAAAAATTCCTATTTGTAGACAAATGCTGCATTTATTTCATGTGAAGTTGATAATTGCTCATAGTTTTACATCACCTGAAGCTCGAATATATCCTTTTAATGCTGAAACAACTCTTTGAATAACTTCATATTTCAGGTGCTTTTACTTTGTTTAGTTTGAAGTCAAAGATTTCAAAGCATGGAGTAAAATAATGGAAGCTGTTAAATTACAAAGTCACATAAACTAAATGAGAAAAACCTAGTATTTGATTCTTGAAGTTTCGTCTGTTATGTCCAGTTTAAGTTTGGACTGGGAAACCTCCACCAGCAGGCTGACCTCTGTAAAACCACAGCAATTGATCCTAGTGAGCAAGTCAGGGATTGCAAAGTCAGGGATGTTATTGCAGTTTTGGCTGAATATCACAACCCAGAAGTGAAATTCATGTTAAAAATCCAAGTTGAAGCCATCGTTTGGTGAAGCTTTTCTTTTTTGGGCGTAGTAGCACTTGAGTGGGAATTAAATCTAAATGCCAGCAACATCACTTATCTCTGTGAGAGTGTTTCATCTGCTTAGTTAAGTCAAACTGCTCGCGAACACTTTACCACCTCAGTGCTTCCTTGTTAAACTCTGTGGTTCTCTGAGGCTACATTGAGGTACTGATGTAAAAACTGAATACAAACAACCAAATCTAGTCTCATTTAGATTCAAATGCACTCACTACCCTTCACCTAAGTAAAAACACCAGCTTGCTTCTTGGCAGTGCTCATTTTTAAAAGTACAATGCTCCAGTGAGGGCTACATCCTATCTAAGAGCTATTGTGATTCTCACAGTCCAGCTGCTACAGTTAATGTATGAAAACCCTGAGAGGATTGAGATGAGGACGTCACTGTCTCTCTTCTCCGAGCACAAGGTTTTCTAAAGTCGTGGTAAGGAGGAGTGTGAGGGTCTGCCCTGGTGTTTTTGTTGCATCAGTGTGCAGAGGAGAGCTGCTAAATTATCAATGATTACCTTGTTATATATTTAGCTTACTCCTCGAGCATTCCTCACGGACAGGACAACACAGTAAACTTTCCAAACTTGAACTGCAGATATAGAAAAAGAGCAAAAAAACAACCCCCCCCCCCAAAAAAAAAAAAGCTCAAGTAACTGTCTGTGATATTGTCTGTATGTGATTTACTCGTATATGATCATTTTAATGCGTTGTCATCACTGGACATGGACCAGTGGAGCTGTATTTAGACTGACAATGTTCTAATAGCCATCTTCTGTCTGACCTGGGATTACATTTATATTAAATGTTTCAGTCCCAAGTTCTGCAAATCCTAAATGTCTATATGTATAGGAAGAGAGTTAATATAAAGATGTATACAGGGGGAAGCCAGATGAGCTGAGTCCTTACTCTGGTGTAGTACTACTGCAGGCTGAAAATAGACAGCGTCCTCTCACCCAGTGTAAACACTCAGTCAATGTGGCCCCTGAGGATTTACGAAATGTGCAAAATGATTTATTTTTGTCATGTTTTTTTTTTGTTGTTGTTGAGATACACATCTTTATTGCTTTTGCCGTGCCTAAGAAGAAAAGCTCCCTCATAAATGTGTAACTGTGAATTCTCATGTAGAAATGAGCTTTGTAGAAACTGTGATTACGTCTCGTCTTGTGCATTGCTGTAAGTTTTTTCTCTCTTTGGAGTGATGGGGTGAGGTGAAAGTGTGTGTGTGAGTGAGTGTGTGTGAGAATATATGTGTCTAGATAAGGGAGTTCATGTCCATGTTTTCTGTCAATGGTTGTGACATTCCAGCAGCAGCCACCACCTTTTCTATTATCCAAAGCCTCTCAATAAACATATCATTGTGCCATGCTGTTTCTCTGTCATTTTAGAGAGTGCGAGTGGGAAACGGTCGGACTGATGACAGGCAGCAGCATGAGACGA